CCTGGGTCTCAGACGCCTGTCCTTTGGGGTCTCTGAGTGCGGCAGGGTCCTTGGCTTTCCTGAGTGTCCCTGCCCCTTGATTCCCTTTCTGCCCTGTCCTGAAGTTGCCTGCCACAGGGGAGTCAGGGTGGACTGCACTCTAGCATCCCCACCGTCCCTTCTGTGGCCACCAGTTCTTTCCCTTCTGTGGCTGAAGTCTGTGGGATGGGGCAAGGGGCAGTAAACTGGGTCTCAAGCCTCTTCCTCTGGAAGACGGGGCTATGCGTGAAGGTTGTTTTGCAGGATCACTGCGGGCATGAAATGAGCACGTGGTCATAGAGACCTTGGCCCAGGGCCGGCCTGTATGCTGTCCTGGGGGCTGTGTCACTTGGCAGTCGGCCCGGGAGGGTATGCTCCCCCATACACCCCAGCCAGAGCCTGCCCAGTGGGTGCCCCTCCCCCACTCCCCCATGGCAGGCCTGGGAGGGGGCATTCCTCTCCCCCTCCAGCTACTCCCCTTGCAGCACAGTGGGGCACAGATCCTGGGGCCTTGATTCCAAAGCGGAAATGCCATTCTGGGAGGCACAGTCTTGGGTGGGGGGGGCGGGGAGTTTAAGTGGAAAAGCAGCAAATTTTTGAAATGCCTGGGCCAGAGCTGGGTTCTCCTCCCCCGCCTGCCCGCCCACAGGAGCAACCCCGCCCCCAGCGCTGCTTTAATCCAGCCCCAGAGAGGGAGGGTCTCCGGTCCTCCTCCTCCCAGGCAGCCTCCTCCTGTCTCCCAAGGCCAGCTAGGACCGAGTAAGGCCAGCCCTTTTGTGTCCCTGCCCATTCCTGCAGAGACCTCCTGCCGTCTGGCTGTGAAGCCTGGTCTCCACCCCACTCCCCACCGGAGTGGAGACCCGGGGAAAACCTAGGGACTCCCTCCAGCTCCCAGCATGGACAGATGTTCACACACAGCCCAGCTGGTTCTGATCTGATTGATTCCTTGGAACCTGGAATGCCAGCCAGGCTGAGGACAGGGGCAGGGGCAGGGTTTCGGAGGGGCTGAGCCCGCAGTTTCCTTTCTGACTTTGGGGCACAGCTTTGGGAACAAGCAGGAGAGGATACTCTAGGTAGTGTTCCCCTGAGAGCTGGCTCTTCTGTGGAAGAACTGGGCTGTTTTGAAGGTTACAGGAGGTCCCGTCTTGAGGAGGGCAGAGGGTAGCAGCTAGTTGTCCCATTCCTTCTTGAGGACTCTGGGTCACACTGAGTCCAAATCCCATTGCTCCTTACCCACACCCTATGCTAGGAGTTCTGTCCAGTGGTTCCCTGAGAAACTTTGGGGGAAATGCAGATGTCCAGATTCCCCCCACACCCGGGATTTCTGGAGGAGGGGACCTGTGGGAGGGGTTTTTTAGGAGGGGATTCCTAAAAAACAGGAATCTGTTTTTTGACAAGCTCTCCAGGGGACCTGTGACCAGCCAGACTTGGGGTTCCCTAGCCCAGCTCCTTCCTTTTACAGATGGGAGAGGGCCCGGCCAAGGTAGCACACCTGGTGAGAGACTGAGTCGGCCATCCCTGGGTGTCAGGTGGAGGGGCACCTGTGAGTGCACTGTGGGCTTGTATGTATTTTATAGGCCGTGCCCGAGGGTTCTCTGCAGGGTGTGCCCCCATGCTTCCCTGGAATTTCGAGCTGCCTGATGGTGTCCACACACTCAGCAAATGGGACAGTCTAGTTCTGGAGAGGTCCCATTCTAGATCTCTCTGCAGACCACTGTGCAAACCTGGACTGTGCCCAGGGACTCTGGCTGGCTACATGGGGTGACAGTCACCAACTTGCCCCCCTAGGGAGCGGGAGCTCAGGAGAACCAAGGCACCCTCCACTCAGTTTCCCTGTCGTGCTTCTTCCCTCCCCCTCATTCTCATCAGCATCCCTCCTACCCCCTGTTGCTGAAACAGGAGTCGTTGGGGCACAGGCGTTAGCCCTGGACAGGGCTGACTGAGGGAGGGATTGGGGTAGGGGCACATCTCCTAGAGCAGCACCGAGACAGTGGGGGACACTTCGAGGAGACTGAATTCAATTCCGAGGAGAAGGTGGGGGATGGCAAGCTTCTTGTCCCTGGGTGCACTGGAACCTCCCGCGCACGGCTGGTAGAACATGATGCGCTCCGGTTCTACTCTCCCTAGATTACAGGGACAGCCGCAGTCCCCAGCTTCCTTGCTGTGTCTTCATAACCTGGGGCTCTTACACCGAAGGCCTGACCAGAGTCAGTGCGGTGGTCGTATTATTAGTTTTCTGCCAGCTGGGACATGCCCCTCTAGATGCAGATCTGAGTCGGACTGCCGGATGGACACGCGTGAAATGCCCCAGGTTGGTGGGCGGGGAAGGCAGACTTGAAGCTGGTGCCTCCGGGGCTGCAACGGCCACGGGGGAGGAGGGCAATTCCGGCAGTCTTCCCAGAAGAAGAAGGCTTAGGCCTTTGAGGAGGGGCGCGTTCTCGCCCACGGTGGAGGGCAGGGATGGGCGTGCGGAGAAAAGGCGATATCCCGCGTGTCCGGCAGGCGCCTGGAGCCTAGCGCGGGTGCAAGGGTGGGGGGTGGTGGACGGTCCCACTGGGCAGCGCGTGCCCGCGCGCTCCCGCAGCCAGCCGCGCCCCCGAGCCGGCGGCTCATTTGCATGGGGAGCCCGAGCGGCCAATGGGCGCGCGCGACCGGGCATGCCGGGAGCCGGGCTGGGCCCGCCGGCCTTGGCGGCGGTGGCGGGCGGGGCGAGATGGGACCGGCTCTGCACGGCGACGGCGGCGGCGGCGGCGGCAGCGGCAGTGGCCTGCGAGGTGGCTGAAGCGGCCGGACCAGGACCCGGGCGGCTTCGGGGCTCTCGGGAATCCGAGAGCGCGCGGCGCGGGCAGTTCGCTGTGCGCCCTGCGGGGAGCCGGGGCCCCAGGCCGACCCGACACGATGAACTACCTGGTGAGTGCGGTCAGCGCAGCCAGTGCGGCCCGGAGTCCACTCGCGGTGGCCGGGGCGGCGTCCGCGCGCCAGGGAGTGTCGGCCGAGGTCCGCGTACCGGCTTGGAGGCGACCCAGCTCTACCCGCGCCCGGGGCGGTCCCAGGCGGGAAAGAGTTAAGTGAGTGGCATTTCCTGCCGGACCTGCAGGTCCTGGGAACTACGGGCCGCTGGAGCCTCCGCGGGGGCGTGACCGGGCCGGGGTCCGAGGTCCTGGAAAAACCCCCTTCTGCCCTGGCCGGGGCTCCCAGAGGCCAGGACTGCGGAGGATCCCAGAGCCTGCGCACCCCGGGGGCGGCTGGAAGGACCGGACTCGGGGGCCGCCGGCCGGTAGGAGAGTTCCTGGATCCGGGAAAGTTGCTGGCCGGAGGCCCGCTCTCCTTCTGCCGGCCGCTGCCTGCTGGGTGACCTTGGGCCTGTGAGCCCTGTCTCCGAGCCTCACTTTCCATCGCTACGAGGAGCGGTCCGAGGTCCTTTGGACCGTGAACTTCCAGGAAGCAGGGTGGCGATCCGTGTGTTTTGGAGTGAGGGCGGCCCATGCCCCCAGGTTAGGGGTTGAGGGGTGGGTGAGCAAGCGCGGGTGTCCACGGAGAAGTTAATAATTAACCCCCGGCCCGCCCGCGCTGGATTCCGGGACCCAGGGCGGGAGCTTCTCGGTTATTACCTACCGTGGTTGCGAAAACGGTTGTAGGAGCCGGGTCTTGGCAGGGGAGTCCAGGGCCGCGCCGCGATCCCGGGGTCCTAGCCTCCGCGGGTAGAGCGTGGGAGCTGGGGAGGGGCGGGGCCGCTGCCCGGGTGGCCGCAGCCCGGGCGCCCAGCCCCTCATTGCTGCTGCAGAGCCCAGAGCGGTGTTGAAAGATTCGGAGAAGCTGAGATTTGCTGAGGGCCAGGCGTGGTCAGGGGGTGTGAGGGGGTTAGAGTCTGGGGAGATGTTGGGGTCTCCCATCCCTCGGTAGGAGCAGTGGCTTCCTAACTGGTCTTGAGAACAGGGAGTTTATTTCCTTGGCACTCTTAGCATGAGGAAGAGTTACTTCCTTGGCACTCTTAGCATGGGGAAGAGTCTAAGCTGGGAAGTACTCTCTGGGTTTGCTGTGCAGATTTCAGCCAGGCAGGGAGATGTTCCTCATCCCCCTGGGCTGGGGGACACGCCTCCCGCCCATGACTCTTTCCTTTCCGGGGTGGAGAGCTGATGGTGGGAGTGGAGGGATGGCAGGGCTAACAGGCTTAGAAAAGCAGGAGAAGGGCCCAGGTGCAGGTGGAGACTGGCAGGAAGGGAGGTCTGGGAGGACCTGCCGGCAAGCTCTCCTGGCACTAGCACCCACTACCCGCTTGCCGTGGGCAAGGAAGGAGTCCTGTAGGTGCCAGGTGGAGGCAGGGCAGGGCAGCCCCAGCTTCTGCCAAGGCAGTCACCCTCAGCTCCCGGTGACTTTTAAAAGAGGGTGACTTTTACGCTTGTGCTGAACAGAGACGTTAGCGTTGTGGGCTGGCATCATCTCCCCGGGCTTGGGCAAGGGATTGAAGTAAGGGCAGTGCCACTAGGGAATCCTTCCTAATCAGGAAGGGCCCCTAAGACACCTGCTCTCCCCGCGAGTCATACAGATGGTACCAATGGGGAGACTGAGGCACAGAGAGGGGCAGTTACTTGTCCTCACAGAACCGTATCCAGAACATAGTCTCCTGGTATGGCCCCATGCTCTAGCCACGTGCTCCCCCTGCTCTGGGATTGAGGGTGCTCTGGTCCTTGGGGTGCTGCCATGCTCTACTGGGGCTGCCAACTTGGTGGGGTCTCTCTGGCTCCAGAACTGTGCCTTAGTAGCCCCCTCCTGGCCTCCATTATTCTTTTAGGAGATCCCACCACCCTTTGTCTCTCAGGCCTGGAGAACTCCCTCCACCATGCCCCAGGAGCCCACAGCCAGTTGGGGCAGCCAGAACCAGCCAGCAGGTGGAAGGGGGAGGAGCAGTGTTAGAGTCATGCTTGGAGGGCAGGCTGTAGGGTAGGGCGGGACAGGGTCGTTCTCCAGCAGAGACACTGGCCAAATTCCTCTTCCTCTGGATCCTTAAGGCCCCCAAATAAGGGGCTACAGAGTGGCCTCCCTCCAGGGGGCAGGCTGGGCCCTTTAGCACTGGGGAGAGGCCCTGGCTCTATCTCCGTCTCGTTGTGCTAACTTCCTCCCACCTCTGAGTGAGGAGTGGGGCAGAGTACCAGCCTGCCGTGGAAGGAGCTCAGAGGGTGGAGGGGCAGGGCCCCGTCTCAGTCCCCTGTTTCCATTGCGTATCCTGAAGTCAGGGGCTTGGTACTTCTTTTGAGCTGGAGAACCCTGCTTTTTGTGCCAGTGTGTCCTCCTCCATCCCTGCGGAAGCAGATGGTGCTGCTCTAAGGGCTGCTGAAAGCTATCATTTAGGGCTGGAGAGGGGCAGAGCTGAGGAGGCTTTAGATGTCCAGGTGGGGAAACTAAGGCTTCGTAAGGAGTGAAGTCCCTGCTGTCCCACCCGGGCTTCTGCCTCTGCCCCTCCAGTGGCATATCTGGGGCTGGCCACGGTGGGTTACCAGGGCCTGGTACTGTCCCTGAAGTGAAGGTCAACCTCATGCTGGGCCCTCTGCTGAGAGACCAAATCCCAAGGCTGAACAAGCCTGTCTACTCAAACATGTCTGGGGTCTGTCAGCCTGGGTCGGTTCCCTGGGCTGGGTGGCAGTGGTGAGGGTTCTAAGGGGTTGAGGACCACTCCCAAGCTGTCAGAAGTTGGGGTGGGCTGGAGGGTGGAGGGCTCCGCTCTCGTGTCACCCACATGGGCTCCTTGGTGCCCTGGCCCCAGACCCACCTGTTCCCACTGTCCGAGGTGTGTTGGGGGCTGCAGATGCCGTGTCCTGCAGGAGGAGGGCCCTCCCCATGCCACCTCTCTTCCTCTGCCCAGCCTCGCAGGGACAGTGCCTGGGATGCCCTGGCAGGAGAGGGGCCAGGGGCCTGCTTCGGCCCAAGAGCTGGGCACAAAGACATCTGCTCTTGCCACTGTAGCAAGGCCAGCTCGGGGCTCCTGATTGTCTGAGGGAGCTGCTGGCGGTGGCCACCCACAGGTGGGTTTTTAGTCCTTTGTTCTGTAGACCTGTCCTCTGGGTGCTGTCAGGCATGGGGCTGAGGACCCCCACACGGCCCCTGCTCTGTCCTCTGAGCCTCAGGCACTGCCAAAGCAGGCAGGGAAGGAGCCATGCTCCCCTCGTCCCCTTGGAGTGGCTCTGGAGTGGGGGGCTCATCCACGCTTGTCACGCTGAGCACTGAGGACTTGAGCCCAGACCCTGGTCACTCAGTTGTCCTGGAAGAATTAAGGGGAGGGTGATGCCAAGGCCTGCTGTTGCGGAGTTCCACCCAGGATGAGGGTGTGGGGCCTCCTGGGAAGGGAGGAGGCACTGCCCGCCCAGCCCCATCGCAGCCGGGAGGCGGAGCAGAGGATTGTCAGGACCCTGGCCAGTGGGCCTGTAGCCGCTGCCCCTCCGGCGGGATTCCCAGGGCACAAGTGAGCAGCGGTTGTGGGTGTAGACCGCCACTTGGGCACACGTACGTCGGGCCTGTATCCAGTGGCCACGGGGGCTCTTTGGGACAAGCAACCAGAATACCCCAGAAATAAACTTGGCCCAGGTTTGAGATGGTTCTTTGTATGAAGAGAACTAGAGTTTCCCTAGTGACTGCTGTGTGTGGGGCTCTGTGCCTGGGGCTGGGGTGTATGTCAGGGTGGGGGACAGGGAGGGATGGAAAAGCCCTGTGAAATTTCCACTCCTGGCTTCCATGGACCTAAGCAGTACCCCGGGAGCCACCCAGCTGCACTTTGTCATACAGCAGATCTGCCTCTGCCACTTCCTGACCATGACCCTGGCGAGTCAAGTGTCTGTTGTGCACCTCAGTCTCTCCATCCGTAGGTGGAGGCAATCACAGTGTCTCACAGGGTTGAAAGAGATAATTGAGGTGCATAGAAGAGCCCTGTCTCTCAATGCCGGCGTTATGGTCATCATTGTGAACTGTCAGTCTCCCCACCACCAGGTAGCACCGTCCCGCAGAGTCGGGGTTTGGGGATACCCAGAGCACATCCAGGGCTCTCCGGGGCAGCAGACCGAGGGAGAACCCGTCAGATGGCCGCTGACACGTGCCCGTTGGCGGCCAAGGCCCAGCTGCTCCGTGTCTGAGGGCCCGGGTGAGTCTGGCGCACACAATGAGGGCCATTCTCAGACCCGGCAGGGCCGTGGGGCAGCCCTCTCAGCTCCCGTGTGCAACAACCAGAGTGTTGTTCTGGGCGGGCCTGGCTGGCAGGCCGCTGCCTGGGGGGTGTTGGCGTTGGGCAGGGGGCTCTCCTCTGTCCCCTCCCTCTGGGGTGAGTGAGCCCAAAGGGCCTTTCCTGGCTTTCTCAGGCGTGGCCACGCGGCTCCCAGGGAGGGCAGGGCACCACCTTCCGCAAGGGGGGCTTTTGCCTGAACCCGCCCATCCAGCAGCCCCACGCTCAGCCCTGCTCTGGGCCAGGCCTGGCGTGCATGTGCAGCGGAGGGACGTTCCCTGCTCAAGCAGACAGGCCCCTCCCATTCTGGGCGCCCGGGTTGGGGGCACGAAGTGGGCAGTAACAAGAGGTGTTGATCAGCACTTCGAGGTGGGGACAGTGAGGTGTGGGTGCCCGGGGAGGGATGTGGGAGCTTTCTTGGCGGGGTGGGGGGGTGACACCCAAGTCACGTCCTGAAGGAGGAGTAGGACACAGCGAGAGGTTTCCTAGGGTCGCGGGTGAGGCGGCCAGAGACTCGGGCGAGTCAGCAGCAGTCTCCGTGGTGCCTTGGACCCAGGTGGCTGGCAGAGTTGGCCTGGACTGCGATGGTGCCCTGGTGGTGTGCCCCTCCCAGAGATCACAGCTGTGTCCTCTTGTGAGCTTGGGGGAAGCACTTGATGGGCCCAACAGTGAGGAAGGCTGGAAAGCCAGGTTCTGGGTAGACTGACCCCGCTCTTCCAAGCTGGGACAAGACACTGGGCCCTGGGGAGCATGTCCAGAGCAGGAATGCTCAGGTGGTGTGGGTTTTGCCTTATCCTGCCATGGGATGCCACCATTTGGACGGCATGGACTGAGCTCTCCCTGCAGCATCCCAAGGCACCCTGCAGTGTGACCGGCCCAGCCTGCCTGCCGGTCCAGGGCCACAGCCCTGTCTCCCCTCCAGCCTTTCCCTATTTCAGTGTCTTGGCTCATGCCTGCCCTCTGCCCACATGCCCTTCCCTGGCTGGTTTCATGGTCGCCTAGTTTTCGGTCTTCATGAGTCATCTGAAATGTCCTCCTTGGGGGAGGCCACCTCTGACCATCCTATGTGTAGTGGCCCTGTTGCACATGCCACATTTCCCCCTGCCCTGGCAAATCGTTTTGTGTCTGCCTGCCCTGCTGGGATGCAAGCCCCGTGCAGACAAGGGCCTGGTCGACCTAGGCTTGCACCGTCTTGCAGGGCCTGGCCCAGCACCTGGCAGAGGGCAGATGCCAGGTGAATCTTTTATTAAACAAAAGAACTTCCCTATGAAACCAGGATTGTCACCTTAACACAAGGGATCTGGGTGCTCAGAGAGGCTAAGGGACTTGCCCAAGGTCCCCAGCAGTGGGAGGGAGAGCCAGGCCCAGGTCTGGTCTTAGCTGCTGCTCAGCACTGGAGGGAGAAGTGTGTCAGGAGCAGCTGGAGAGGCTTAGGGGCCCAAAGGGGCGGTGCTTGGCCAGCTGGAGCTCTGCGGCGCCAGCAGTGCCCAGGACTGCGGAGAGCCTGCCTTGGGGGCTCGGCGGGGGGAGGGGGGCACCAGCTGACGCAGGCAGAGGAGCTCCTGGTGCCAGGCGCCTGGTGCCACGTGCCCACCCTGAGAGGTGCTTCCCAGACTGGCTCTGGCCTCCCCGGACTATACAGTTGCAGTTGGAATTGGCCTTGACTGCTCATCGAGCTCATACCCAGGAGGTGAGAGCTGGCCACCCTGGGCACGAGAGGCCCCGGTAGCTCCCTGGGCAGCTCTCCTGGGTCCAGGGGACCCTCCCTCCACCCCCTTCCCCCTCCCGCTGGACCTTGCCCTTGGCAGAGCTCTCCAGCCTCCCTGAGAGCCCAGCCGTGCCCAGCAGGGCCCGGCCGAAGCCCCTCTGCCAGCCTTCCTCTAAGAGGTGAGGGGCCTCTGAGGGGCATTCCCCTCTGTCTGCACCCTGCCCCCTTTGACTGGGCTGGAGGGGAATTTTCCTGTGACTCACTCTGCTGGCACTTCCTGTGGTCACCAGGGCAGGGGCTGAGGGGACCCAGAGGGGTGGCTCTGTGTTCTGGGGTCATTGGGGGAGGGTGGGTTGGGTGTCCCGCCCCCCTGACGGGGTGTGATTCCCTGAGCAGGCTGCAGACCATATTTGGGAAACTTGCTTTTCCTGCAGGCAGCCTGGGGATGGGACCCATGAGCCCAGTGGGCAGCAGGGCAGCCCCCGCCCCATCTGCTCCTCCTGGGGCTTTGGCCTCTGAGCTGCTTCGGCCCTGTCCGTCCCATCCTGCCTTGGAGCCTAGGAGGTAGTCCACTGTTTTCTTTTTCAGGGTGTATATTTTTTCAACCCCCAAACCAAGAAATGCTCATTAAATACAAATTGAAAATTTCTGAGAAGCAGGAAGACAAAGCATCCCCCATTGTCTCAAACATTACCCTCTCCCCAGTTGTTAAGTTCAAGTGGCATTTTATTGAGGACTCATTTATACCTCAGTGCAGTGATAACCGTCCTGACTGGTGTGGACAGTGTTGGCGCCGCCAGTAGTTCCGAGGGCCCTTGCCCTGCGCTCACCTTGGTGCAGGGTGAATTCGCTTGCTCTGCTCTCTGTGCGCTGCCTGCCTGGGCTGGCTTCTCCCCTGGGCCTTGTCCCTCCTGGCTCCCAGCTTTCTGGCCTCTGGGTCCTTCTGAGCTGCCCTGGAGGAGTGGGCTTCCCGCCAGTGTGCCCCCGAGTCTGAGCGTGCAGTCCTGGGCCTGGAACACGCACTGCCTGCCCCAGCTTCCCCCGTGGGCTGCTGTCCCCCTTGATGGTGTTCCGTCCTCTTCCCTAATCCTCACTGTGACGGGCAGGGGAGACGGAGCTCAGAGGGGCTCCTTCCGGCTCCTGATGCTGGTGTGGAGGTGGGCCCTCCTAGACTTGGGTGAGGCCTCACCCCGACTTCTCTCTGCCCCTAGTGGAATCCAGGGGATGAGACCCAGGCCCACGTGGGGAAGGGTGGTCCGAACCCAGGTCCCATTTCCGAGTCAGATCTAGACCAGGCTCTGCATCTTCAGTCCCCAGGAGACTCAGAGGAGGGCGACCAGAGCTGAGGCCTGGCTGGTGGGGCGGGTGCCCAGCTGGCCTGGCACTGTCCTCTCCACAGGCCTGGCCTTCCCACCCAGGCACCTGCTTTGCTCCTGCCCTCTGCTGGACTCACCTTGGCCCTCTGGCTGGGGCCCCCCTGTGCTATCTCTGGGCCCAGACTGAGCCCTCACCCGCGCAAGCAGCAGAGGTCAAGGACTGAAAATGTGGGGCCTGTCCACCCGGTTCTCTGTCCCCGGTGAGGTTCTGGGCCTGCCGGCACAGTGCCTGCCAATGCTGGGGTCCTCCTGTCTGTCCCCACAGCCTCGCCAAGGCCTGCACAGGCTGCTGGGCTACTGGGCCTCTGCACGGAGCATGTGTCCCGGCTCCAGGAGGGTTTGCCGACTCACGGAACCCATAGCAGCGGTTCTGGGGTGCCTGTGAGAATTAACAGGAGAATTGCAGGAGTAAAGAGCGGGGCTGGGCGTGGGGTGCTGTCCTTCTGTGGCCGTCCTCAGTCTATATGGGACGGCTTCCTTGTTTTGCTTTATTCTCCCCATTTATTCCTGATGCCTGTCTCATTCCCGTCCCTCTTCCAGAAGCACCCATGCAAATGTAATGTGTCTGGAATCTGCCCTTGGACAAGTGTCTGTGAAAAATACATAGAGTTCTTTTGTAGGTATTCGTAACATTTACGTAAAGCGTTCTGGGCTGTAGATCTCCTGTTTGTTTCTCTGACTCGGGGGGTGTGGCTGGTGTTCCTCACCAGACACCTGGGCACCTGCTGGAGCACAGAGCAGAGTCGCAGGTCTGTCCCGCTTTGCTGGCTGGATCCCTGAACGTCCTTTGTGGCCATCTTGGCCATTCTGGTCTCCCCTTCAGAAAACTCTTCATATTTTATTGGTTTTCTGTTGGTGTTCTTGTTTTTTCCTCGCTTGTTTGTAGGAGAACCTCCAGATTCTAGATCAGAGACTCTTGTCATTTGGTGGCCTGTCACCCTGTCAGCTTTCTGTTGTTCCCCCACCCAGCTGAAACCGTTCACTTTGATGAGGTTGAATCCATCTCTTTGTTTCTGTTGTTGTTACCTTATGTTTTGTGCTTTTTGTGGTCTTTTTTTCTAGGGTTTTGTTTATAATTTTTTTCCACCTCAAGGTCACAGAAATATTCTCCCACAATTCTTTTCTTTTATCAGCTCTAAGGTTATAACTTTCACATGTAGGTGTTTGATTACCGTTTGTTTATAACATGAGGCAAAGTGTCCCAATTGACTTTTCTTCCTATGGTGAGTGAGTTTTCCTGGTAGCATCTCGGTTACAGTCCTGCCCCCATCATCGCTGTGTGATTCCCAGCCGCTGCTGCCTGTCCTGCTTAGGGATTGGAGTTGTGGCCTGTCCTCACAGCAGGAAGGAAGTGCCTCTTTGCATTTCATTTTCAGAATTGACCTGCTTATTTGTGGACCTCTATTCCTCTGCTTAATTCTAGAAGGATTTTTTTCCTTTGGTTGAATTCCTCCAAAAAAAAAAAATGTTCGGCTGGCATTTTTATTGCAGTTGTAACTTATTAAGCAAGCTTGGCCCAGTTGTTACATTTTCTCCTCTGGAGTCTTTGCTTCATTAACTCCTGGATAACTTGTAGTTTCTGTTATCTGGTGACATCTTTTCTGTGAGGTTCCCTCCTCAGCACTGTTGATTCTTCTTGTTTGTTGGAATCTGTATGTAGATGACATATGGTCTGCAGATGATGACTGTTCTGTCCCTGTGTGTCCCCTCCCCACTCTCTGGTCTTTTCCTCCTGGCTGATTGCACTGGTGGGGCAGCAGGGAGTTGAGTTGAAGCTGGGAGGGTGTGCATCCTGTTTTCTCCCCAGGACGTGGTGGCCATTATTGTCATTATCGCTGCCTTCCCCAGCATTAGGTCCAGCTTATAGCGTGACTCCGGGAGTATTTTTTAGAGTATCTTGAGTACCATCCTGGAGTGCAGGTGATGGCTGTGGTCAAGAGGATTTTGAGACACTATCCAGGCTCATTGGAAAAACTGCCGGGATCAGCTGGGCCTTTCCGCCAGGGGCAGCGGGGGCAGAGGCGTGGGGATCTCGCCAAACCCTACTTAGTTCCTTTCTCGGTGCCAAGGCCAGGTGCCTCCCCAGTCCTGGAGGGGGTGGGAGCTGGGCGGGACGCCGAGCCCCCAGCGCACGTCCTCCTGCCCTCACGCTCACCTGTGTCCTCTTCCCCCAGAACGTGCTGGCCAAAGCCCTCTACGACAATGTGGCCGAGTCCCCAGATGAGCTCTCCTTCCGCAAGGGCGACATCATGACGGTGCTGGAGCGGGACACGCAGGGCCTAGATGGCTGGTGGCTCTGCTCGCTGCACGGGCGCCAAGGCATCGTGCCCGGGAACCGCCTCAAGATCCTGGTGGGCATGCATGACAAGAAGCCCGTGGGGCCCGGCCCCGGCCCGCCCGCCAGCTCGGCCCTGCCTCAGCCCAGCCTCCACCCCCCGGCAGCCCAGTACACACCCATGCTGCCTGCCACGTACCAGCCCCAGCCGGACAGTGTCTACCTGGTGCCCACCCCCAGCAAGACTCAGCAAGGCCTCTACCAAGCCCCTGGGCCCAGCCCCCAGTTCCAGTCTCCCCCGGCCAAGCAGACAGCCACATTCTCCAAGCAGATGCCCCATCACCCGTTTCCCAGCCCAGCCCCAGACCTTTACCAGGTGCCCCCGGGGCCTGGCAGCCCTGCCCAGGACATCTACCAGGTGCCGCCTTCCGCTGGGATAGGACACGACATCTACCAGGTCCCCCCATCCATGGATGCACGGAGCTGGGAGGGGACGAAGCCACCAGCCAAGGTAAGGCCTCCCTGGGTGGCCAGGCAGCCCTCCTGGTGGGTTTTGGCTGGGCCCAGTTTTTGGATGCAGCAGGGCCCGGCCAGGCACCCTTGCTTGGGACCTCCGGGACTCCAGCAGCGGCTCCGCGTTTGGTCTGGGGTCGAGGGGGGAGGTGAGCGTCTGGGGAATGTGTTTATATGTCTGCTGATGTGGGTGTGAGCAGCCCGAGAGGAGACACCGAGCTGGCCGTGGACCGTGAGGTGGCCTTCAGCTGACAAGCCCCAGTGGAAGGGTGTCGGCAGCAGAGGACACAGCCTGTCAAAGACTGTTGTGGCAGGTGGGGCCTGACCACGGAGGCCTGAGCAGCAGCTGGGAACGGACCCCCAGGGGCCTGGAACCTTCGTGAGGGCGGAGGGTGTTGGGTAGGAGTGACCTGCCCAACCACATCCTGGTGAAGCCATTCTGCCCAGAGGGGAGGGTGCAGGGAGCCCAGGAAAGGGGAGCTGGGAGGCACCTGAAGGGGAGAAACGGAGTATGGAGCACAGGGCCGCAGTTGGGCCAGAGTGGCTGGAAACCCAGAAGATTGGACTGGATGACAGAGTCATTTCTCTCTCACGTAGCACGGCTGGGGGTGAGCGGTGTGGCGCTGGTGGCACCTCCGAGACTGTCGGAGCCTGTGGTTCCTCCTGGAGCGCCGGCGGTGGAGGGCAGGTCCTCCGTTTTCTTGCTCTGCCGCCTCGTCACGGGGCTCGCGGGCCAGAACAGTGGCCGTGTGAGTTCCAGCCGGCAGAGAAGGGAGGAAGGGACAAAGGGGCGAGGCCAGCCAACGCGTGCCCAGGGGCTCCCACGGTCCCCCTGTGGGTGCAGCTCATCTAGATCCACACGCACCCAACCCTCTCCTCTCCTGGGCCATGTTTGTGGGCGCCTGCAGGGTGCCCTGCTCGTGACTCCTAAACCGCGGGGAGGACACTGCCTGCGGGATTGTAGGGTCACCGTGAAAGGGGCTCTTGTTCAAGTCCCTTGTGGGCTGTTACCAGTGGGAGGCTGGGCGGGGGGCAAGGCTCTGAGCCCAGCACCTCAGCTCCACACAGACCTGCGTATGTGTCCTCACACCCAGGGCTGTCTGCCTAGGAAGGAGGCAGGACTGGAGAGTGCCATGTCTAGTGTCTGAGGACACTCACCGCGTGGCGCTGAGCCTCTCCTCAGAGCCTGCCCAGGGGTCAGATGCCAGCTGGGCAGCGGTTCAGCATGCAGTGTTGCCCTGCCCCGCCACAGGCAGAGCTTGGAGCGGGAGACCTGGACACAGGTCATTGGCTGGCTCAGGGTGGGGCTCCATGGACACTGGCCACCAGGGGACTCTGGGTCACTGGCTCCACTTCCCTACCTGCTCCTTCAACCGCCTGGCCAGAGACAGGCCAGTGGCAGAAGTGAGCCATGCTGGACTGGGATAGCCCAGACTGGGCAGCTCCCAAGATGGCTTTGGGGGAGGAGGAGTGACCGGTGGTTAGCCTTGGGACAGGCCATAGGCCATCCTTCTGCGCCCATGCCCACACACAGCTCACATTGTGCACACTCCCCAGGGAGGCATGCCCTTCCCCTTTCCATCCTCTCCTTTCCTGAGTCCAGGCAGCTCCAAGGCCAGGACAGGCCCTGGAAGCCCTGTGGCCCAGGAAGCAGCAGTGAGGCCTTTACTCCGGGCTGTGGATTTGAGCCCACGTTTTGGTCATTGGTACTGTTTCCCTCCCATACGAGGCGCTTTGCTCTCAGACTGCTTCTGAGCTCACCTGGCTGGTGCGTGCTCTGCACATGCCCACTGGTGGGGTTGCCCAGGCCCTGTGTCCCTGAGGACCCAGACCGGGCTGATGGCCCCAGGAGGAAAGCTCTGTGTGCTGGGACCTGGTTGCCCTCCCCTGAGAAGCCTCATGGCTCCTGGCCTGGGCAGTCTCCATCGCGGCTGCTTTCGTGTTATGGTCCATGGAAGTGTGCTTGCTTGTCACGGGAATGTGTAATGTATGAGGAGGCCTGGAGGTGAGCTTCCCCACTCAAGACGGGATCGCTGGGGGATTTCAGCATGTTTTGTCTAGCGTGTTCCCTATTCATCTTTCACAGATTTGTACACATACTTTTGCATTTTGAGGTTGTAAATCCAACGTCAGATATCAGAAGCATTTTGGGTCCCTGAGCGTGATCATGACGATCACCACTGGTTTTGCTGGGTCGCCCCTTCTGCTGCGGGCAGGCTCCAGGCGGTTTCTAATGGCAGTAAGGCCATAGATGTCTTGGAGCGTGCATGTGTGCCCACCTTTCAGGCTGTGCTTTCAGAAGCCTGGGCAACTGAGGCCCCTGGTTCCAGGGCTGGAGGTCGGCTCTGCTGAGGGGAAACCCTGCCAAGACCGTGGGGTGGGTGGGTGCGGCCTTGGGTCCAGGAAAGCAGAGGGCAAGTGACAAGGCTGGTGGCTAGGAGGGGTCAGTCTCCTGGAGCCTGGAGCAGGGTGACCCGCGTGGCTGCCGGGGGAAGGTCAGGGCCACACCGGGTGTCAGCACCCTTTGGGGCTGGGCCACGCTTTTAGGTTGCTGAGGGCAGAAGCACGTGGGGCCCCCGGAGGAGGAGGTGTTTTGTGAGGTCACTCTTGGGGGAGCTCTGGGTCAGGGCTGCAGCTGTGCCTGAGGGAACAGCTGTGGCACTGGGTCAGGCTGGGGGAGACGCAGCTCAGATCAGCCTTGTTCCTTCTGGAGGACAGGAGCTTGGGAGGGAGGGGACCCACGTCAGGCGTGTGTCTCCATCTCCCAGGCCCCCCAGCAGTGCTCCGTTTTCCAGAGCAGGAGCCCGAGGCTCTTGGGGGGGGGGCGGGGGGGCAGTGACAGAGCGAGCCGGCCTGGGTCACGAGGGGAGATGCCAGGCGGCCCGGAGGTGGTCAGGGGCCCAGGCAGAAGGCAGCAGGCGGCCTGCGCCGTCCCTGGGGTCTTGGGAGCCTTCAGCCTCCCTTCTCACTCCTGCAGGCGCCCTGATGAGCTGCCCGGCCTGGGTCTGTGTGTCCGCGTGTGCGTCTGGCAGTGGGCATTGTGCGCGTTTTCTCTGCCTCTGCGTGTCTGCCTTCTGCGCCCTCGAGATGTGTGTGTGAGAGAGCTTGTGGGTCTTGGGCTGGGCTCTGTGTCTCCTCCCAGACTCTGGCTTTGTCCCCCAGCCCCAGGGGCTCCAGGTTCTGCTAATGGGGCCCCAGGTGTGGAGCAGGGTGGCCTGTGATTAGCAGGCTCAGCGGCTCTCTGGAGAGTTGGTTTCCCTAACAAGCCTCCCCCCGCTGGTGACTGCCTGCCTTTTTTTCTAACAGAAAACATTTGTTGGCCAGTATGGCTGCCTACTGTCACTGACTCAGCCGCGTGAGTGGCCAGCTGCCCGCGGCCCAGGCCTGGGGTCCGGCCCCAGCGCCCCTCCGCCTGCGCCCCGCCCTCTCTCACCAGCGTCGGGGCGTGGAGAGGGCGGCACACACCCCTCGTCCTGGGCTGGGTCCCCACCTGCCTTCCGAGGCCGGCAGGGCCTGGAGACACCTCAGGCCTCGCCTCAAGGCCCCGCCAACCTGCCACGTCCCGCCAGCCCCCGCCAGCCCCCGCCCCCCCCCTGCTGTTGGCAGGTTCCAGGGTCTAAAAATAGCTCTGGAGGAGACTCAAGTCTGGGGCTTGAGGAGAGAAATGAGTCTGGGAAGGGCTGCCAGCACCACTCCCAGACACGCCGGGGGTGGGGTGCAGTGGACCTGGAACACCCCCTGGCGGCGCTCACCCCAGCAGCTGACAGGGAGCCAGCCCTGCCGGCCTGCCTGGGAGGCCACCGGGGGCTGCATCAGCAGGAGGCTCTGCGGAGCCCTGGGCTGATCAGAAAGTGATGGTGCCTGCACTTCAGCGGGGTCGTTGCTGCTCCTGGGGTGCCCGGTGCGTGCACACAGCCGGTGCCCTCCAGGGCCCATGGGCCTGCAGAGCTGGCTGTTGGTGTCCTGGGGGCTGCGCAAGGCACGGGATGCAGGGTTCCGGGGGCATGAGCCCCAGGGCAGTCCCTGCCTCCGCCTTGCTGTCCCCAGGGATGTGTGTGGGGGAGCGCCTGAGTCACCACTGTCCCAGACCTCCCATTTGATTAGGGAACAAAAGGCCTTTTTGTCAGAGAAGAGCTGAGCCAGGAGCCTTGTGGAGGAGGTGTACCCTGAGCTGGGTTAGAAGATCCTGCCAGCCCCTCCTACAGGGCTGACCCCTCCCACAGGGCCGGGTGCCCACAGGGAAGGAAGCTGCCCACCCAACACTGCCTGCGAGCGGTCTCGCCCTGCACCTCGGGACAGGGGAGGGGCACCGGGGAGGGAAGGGGCTGGCCTCCTCTCTGGGCCAACATCCCCCCACAAAGGCCTTATCCTGTTAGGTGAGGGGTGGTCCCCGTGGCCCCGAGGGTGTGGTGCGGTGGGGAATACAGGTCTTGGTTCTGGTCTTGGTCAGTCCCTCACACCCACACACAACCTGCCAAAACAGCTTCCCTCCTTCCATTTGCGGGAGGGCTGGCCCTGAGGGGCTGGGGGCTTTTGGTGGCCCCATTCTCAGGAATCTCCCCAAGAGCGCTGGGGGGACGAGGAGGGCAGGGCTTGGAGCCCCCAGGCCCTGACTGTCAGGATCTCCTGCAGGCCACCTCCTCTGGGTCCAGCCCGAGGAGGGCACAGCCCACCACTGCCACCGCCATCTGTCCTGGAGCCTGAAGGTGGCTGCTGGGTCATATGGTAGGGACAACCCCTTGCTGGGCAGGCCTCTCGCAGGAGGGTGCAGCTGGAGGTACCATCCAGCAGGGGCGCCTCACTCAAGGGTGGCCCCTTCTCCATCAGCCCACATGTTCTCTCCTCTGGAACCTTCTGGGTCATTCAGCTGTAGAGACCACTTCTGTTTCCTGCCAGAACCAGACGGCTCTAAGCAAATAGTGGGGGTCCTTGTATTCCCCACGTGCTGCATTTCATTGAAGAGAGAGAAGGCAGGGAATACGAAGGGATGCGCACACCCTTGCCTCTGAGCCCACCCTTGGGGAGCCCCCTTACGTATGTCCCGCTCACCTCACGGGGCGGTGGAATCTCTCCAGGGCCGGTGGTGACGGTTGGCTGTCTGCCCCCAGGTGGCGGTGTCCACCCGCGTGGGGCAAGGCTATGTGTTCGAGGCCCCCCAGCCCGAGCAGGACGAGTACGACATCCCACGCCACCTGCTGGCCCCGGGGCCCCAGGACATCTACGACGTGCCCCCTGTTCGGGGGCTGCTTCCCAGCCAGTACGGCCAGGAGGTAGGTGTCCGGGCCGGTGGGCACGGGGAGGGGGGTGCCTCAGCCTGGCCCTGCATGGAGAGCTGGGCTTTCTTGGCCCCAGCCTGGGTGGTCCTGGGGTAGAGCTGCGGGTTTCTGCTCTTTCTGTCCCCTCAGATGGCCCTGGCACTTGTATTACTGCACCTTTTCTGCCCTCAGGTATATGACACGCCCCCCATGGCTGTCAAGGGTCCCAATGGCCGGGACCCATCGCTGGACGTGTATGATGTGCCCCCCAGTGTGGAGAAGGGCCTGCCGCCGTCCAGCCATCATGCGGTAAGCATTTAGGGGATGCTGGGCCCTCACAGGTTGAGGCCCGATCTGTGCATGGGGTTCTGGGTGTGAGTGTGTGTGCGTGCCCTGGGGTGGGGACTCAGGTCTGCAGAGCCGGGGGCATCGAGAGACCTGCCTCCAAACCCCGGCTCTGCCCCTCACTCGCTCTGTGACGGAGGTGGAAACTGAGCCCCTCTGAGTCTCAGCTTCCTCGTCTGTAAAAGGGTCCCTCGTAAGGCCTTCTTCAGAAGGTTCTTGAGAGGATCACACAGGATATCAGCAAGGTGACCACAGGACTTATCATCCAAACCAGGATACTTCTGAGAGTGAAAGGAGAATGACAGGATAGTTATGAGGGGGCATCAGGCACAAACCAGGACTGTCCTGGGCGAACCAGGGTGTTCGCCCTGAATACAGCCTGCACATAGCTCAGCCAGGTACCTGCCACAGAGTAGAGAATACGCACGTGGTGGTGATGGTGATGCTGGTGGTCACGTGGGTGGTGACGGTGGTGCTGATGGTGGCGGCAGTAGTGGTATGATAGCTGACCTCTCACTAAGCGTTTGCAGGTACGCAGTGAATTAGCTCACGTAATCCTCACAACAAACCTGTGAGGGAGTTTTCCCATCTTATAGGTGAGCAGACAGGCACAGAGAGGTGGAGTCACTTGCCTTAGGTCTCACAGGTGGTAAGCAGTGGAGCCAGGATTTCGTACCCTGGTCTGGCCCCAGAGTCGGGCTCTCAACCGTAACCTGCATGAATAAGAATCATGACAAATGTGCCCGCTGGGCTGTGTCTGTGTGTGTGGCTGGGTCCTGCCCGTAGGCTCCCGGGTGGGCAGATGGGCTGGCAGCCTTGACTACTTCTTCTTGGCCCCCAGGTGTACGATGTTCCTCCATCGGTGAGCAAAGATGTGCCCGACGGCCCACTGCTGCGTGAGGAGACCTATGACGTGCCCCCCGCCTTCGCCAAGGCCAAGCCCTTTGACCCGACCCGCCACCCGCTGGTGCTCGCCGCACCCCCTCCGGACTCGCCACCAGCTGAGGACGTGTATGACGTGCCGCCCCCGGCTCCTGACCTCTACGACGTGCCCCCCGGTTTGCGGCGGCCTGGCCCGGGCACCCTCTACGACGTGCCCCGAGAGCGGGTCCTTCCTCCCGAGGCAGCCAACGGCAGCGTGGCCGACGACGGTGTGTACGCGGTGCCCCCCCCTGCCGAGCGAGAGGCCCCGGCCGACACCAAGCGCCTGTCAGCCTCCAGCACGGGCAGCACACGCAGCAGCCAGTCGGCCTCGTCCCTGGAGGCAGCGGTGCCGGGCCGTGAGCCCCTGGAGCTGGAGGTGGCCGTGGAGGCCCTGGCACGGCTACAGCAGGGCGTGAGCGCCACCGTGGCCCACCTCTTGGACCTGGCAGGCAGTGCGGGTGGGTGTGGGGGCTGGCGCAGCACCTCTGAGCCTCAGGAGCCTCCGGCGCAGGACCTGCGGGCTGCCGTGGCCGCCGTCCACGGGGCCGTCCACGAGCTGCTGGAGTTTGCCCGCAGCGCCGTGGGCAATGCCGCCCACACTTCCGACCGCACGCTGCATGCCAAGCTTAGCCGGCAACTGCAGAAGATGGAGGACGTGTATCAGACGCTGGTGGCCCACGGTCAGGCCCTTGACAGTAGCCGGGGAGGCCTGGGGGCCACTCCCGAAGACCTGGACCGCCTGGTGGCCTGCTCGCGGGCTGTGCCCGAGGATGTCAAGCAGCTGGCCTCCTTCTTGCATGGCAACGCCTCGCTGCTCTTCAGACGGACCAAGGCCTCTGTCCCAGGGCCTGAGGGGGGTGGCCCCCTGCACCTCAACCCCACCGACAAGGCCAGCAGCATCCAGTCCCGGCCCCTGCCCTCACCCCCCAAGTTCACCTCCCAGGACTCGCCTGATGGGCAGTACGAGAACAGTGAGGGAGGCTGGATGGAGGATTACGACTACGTCCACCTGCAGGTGGGTGCCCGCTCTGCCCAGGTTCCCTGGGCCCCTGGGGAAGTCCCCTGGTCCTCTCGGGGCTCTGACTTTGCCACCCTGTCGTGGGCACCCTGATTCCCCCCCACAGAGGGCTCTTGTGGCCAAAGGAAGGTGTGGTCCCCAGCAAGACCTTGCTGAGTCCCTGTGCCCTCCTCACTTGGACCTTCCAGGCCATAGGGGTCCCTGGAATCCCATCCTCAGCCTGTCTCAGGCCTTTGGACCCATGTGGCCCTGACATCAGGGATCCTGCAGTGCCAGCCAGGGAGGGCCCCTGAACACCTGCAAGGGCTGGGCCTCTCGTGGCCAGGGCAGAGGTTAGGGATTTGGAGAGGTGAATTCCGAAGTACAAGCAAAGACAGAGATAGTAGCAGGTGTGGGGAAAACAAGCAAGGTGATCGATAGGTGGGGTGGGGTGGGCCTCTGGGCAGAGGCCAGGGTGCCAGCCGATTGGGCATCCCGGTGAGTGGCATTCCGGGCTGAGAGCCAGCAGGTGCCAAGGCCCAGCGGTCAGGGATGGGTGGGCAGACCCTGTATGCCGAGGGGAGGGGCCTGGATGTGATTCCTGCCATGGGAGCTGGGGCAGGGAAGATTGACATGGCCATGTGGAGTGTGCCTAGCCCCTTCCTGGGGTCAGGAGGTGAAGGAGGCCCGGGAGAGCCGCTTCCTCCGGAAGCTGCCCCCACCCTGGGCCTGAGGCCACAGTGGGAGCCTGGGTGCGGCTGCAGCGCCACCTGGTGGCCGCTGGTCTCATTGCACCCCGCTGGGCCTCTGGGGGCTTCCGGCTCAGCCGCATCCTTGTGTCTACCCTCCAGGGGAAGGAAGAGTTTGAGAAGACCCAGAAGGAGTTGCTGGAAAAGGGCAACATAATGCGGCAGGGGAAGGGCCAGCTGGAACTGCAGCAGGTGAGGACACTCAGGTTCCCCAGCCTCTCCCAGCACAGGCGTCCCTAAGAATCTGTCGCCTAAGCTGAGCCTCCCAGGGCCCTCCCTGCTCAGCCCGTCCCTACTCAAGTGCATGACGGTCTCCGTGTGTTCGTTGGATTTATGTTTAGGTTATTATCAGAGTAATCACAGGCACACAGAAAAGTGTGAAGACAGAAAAGAAGCCATTCACCCTCAGGGGTGGTCACCGTGCCCTGGGGCTGGTTTCCGGTCTTGCTCCTGCCTCGGAAGGGGCCTCTGTCCGTGTTTGAGATGCTACTTCGTGAACAGTTATGTCTGCTTTTATCGCAAGGTGTTTCCATGGCATTAAATATTAGTCATAAGTTGTTTTTAACGTCAGCCTATGTCTATTATGGTTGAATGTTTACGTTGTACCCAGTTTTTCTTATTGTAAATAATGCTACTGTGTTTATCTAAGGACATTGGATTTTCTTCATATTTTGGTTTGTTTCCATAGAGTAGGAGAGGGATTTTTTTTTTTAATTTATTTATTTACTTATTTTTGGCTGCACTGGGTCTTCGTTGCTGCACACGGGCTCTCTCTAGTTGCAGCGAACGGGGGCTACCCTTGGTTGCGGTGCGCGGGCTTCTCATTGCGGTGGCCTCTCTTGTTGCGGAGTACGGGCTCTAGGCGCGTGGGCTTTAGTAGTTGTGGCACGTGGGCTCAGTAGTTGTGGCTCGTGGGCTGTAGAGCACAGGTTCAGTAGTTGTGGCGCACAGGCTTAGTTGCCCCGCGGCATGTGGGATCTTGCCGGACCAGGGCTCAAACCCGTGTCCCCTGCATTGGCAGGCGCATTCCTAACCACTGTGCCACTAGGGGAGTCTGGGATTTTCTTTTTTTAAGGGAGTTTTATTTTGATTATGAAGATTTTAAAAATTAAGATATAGTCTAATACAAAATAAACACAGAAATATCACCCGGAAAGTTTTCCTCACCCCACCTACCCTGGGCATGGGGAAGGATGGTGTAGGAGAGAGCCTACCAGGTTCACCCTGAGACCCGGGCCATGGTGTGCGTTTTTCAAAGCCACGTTTCCCCAGCTGTCAAGCGGGAAGCGTAGTTGCATCTGTCTTGGGGTCGATGTGAGAATTAAATGAGTAAACAATATGTAATACTTAGGAGGTGCTGGGCACATAGAACATGTCCAATAAAGGTACAGATGTTAATAATTATATGTGTATGGAATCTCCACCGACTTAGGAAATGGGCATGTGCTTTATCTTCTTTGTCTTCCTCTGGACTGTCGCAGCATCTATTTAACCAGTCCCGTGTCGGTGGACACTTCGTTTGTTCCCAGAGCTACTTTTGTAAACAAAGCTGTACTGACCAAATCTCTTCACGTATCTGGTCAGTCACTTAGATAAATTACTAGAAGCTGGAGTAAGAGGAATGTGAGTGAGAAACTAAAGATCTAGAGTTCCTAAGCGAGGGACATCAAGTACAAATAAAATACAAGAACATAAAATACCCTGACAGGGACGTTTGTCACTCCATTTCTGCATCAGTGAAAAATCTGGAAACAGCCCCTGGCTGCCACCACCAAATACCTCAGAGTAGAGTACTGGTTGAATACAGTGTGAGCATTCGTACAGTAGAATATTGTGTAGCTACCAAGAATTTGTCAAAGAATGCAGAAGACCCACTGAAGGTAAAACAGAACAAAAATGAGTGTATTCTCCCGCTGGACAGGAGAACCAAGCAAATTTCACCAGGTAGCCTAGGAGGGAAAGAAAGAGGGTTTCACATGCTAGGAAGGGACAGTTTCACGCTGGTTTGCTAATTAGAGTAAAGCCTGAAACCTTGGTTAGACAAGTACCTGAGTCCCTGAGTCTGTGTGCACGGCTGGTCCCAACGACCCAGTCAGAACCAGCTTGTGGTGAGGACGTGTCAGTCCACACCGCTGACGCCTAGGCAGGGCTGCTGCTGGTGGAAACTTTTACCACGTGCTTTATACGTTCTCACTGATAGGAAATGAATGACCCGTTGTTGGGTGCTAAAGGTAGGCTATAAAATATTATATATTGTGTGTTTCCGGTTTTCTAATTGTAAAAGAAGTAGGAATATTCCTGTTTAAAGGAAGATGTCTTTGAGGAATATTCACTGGTTTTTGCTGTGAATATTTGTTTTCTGAAATTTGCAAATACCATGACCTTTTTGCTTTTGTTTAAAATTCTTATTATGGGAAATTTAATACATGTATAAAATTGAGGAAAATAGTCTCCCAGGTACCCACTGGAGAAAAGGAAGCCCGGGTACAATTCACCCAGCCCCAGCCATTCTCAGCACAACTAATCCAGTGTATGTAGCCCCCTTTCCCGCCCGGTGACACCCCCACCCCCTCCGCCCGATCATTTTGAAGACGTTACATCATTTCATCTGCAAATACGTCAGTGTATATTTCTAAAAGACGATTTACCAGAGATTTAACAGATTTCTGGGTGCATGGGATTCCAGTTGATAACTTTCTTTCTGCTTGGTGTCTGTGAATCTTTTTACACTGCATATGTTAAGGAGAAAAATATTTTTTTTAACTTTTCATTTTGAAGTATTTGTAGATTCATAGAAAGTTTGAAGGAAAGTACAAAGCAGTCCTGTGTCCCCTTCTCCCAGCTTCCCCCAGTGACCGCATCTGAAATCACTAGATAACAGCACCCAAACCAAGAGACTGACATCCCTCACCCCTGCCGCTGCTCATCTGTTCCCATTTCTAGCATTTTGTCATTTCAAAAATGTTATATAAACGGAATTATTTGAGATTGGTGGGAAAGTTGTTTGGAGGCAGGCAGGGACATGTGCTTGGCCAGCAGGACAGAGGTGGCCTGTTCCCCTGCCCACTGACTCTGGGCTTTGTCACTCAGAGGGCCAGAAGGGCCCCCTCGCTGTCCCTTTTGCTCTGTGGCCGTGGTTTTCACTCTGTTCTCCCTCTTCCCCAGCTGAAGCAGTTTGAACGGCTGGAGCAGGAGGTGTCACGGCCCATAGACCATGACCTGGCCAACTGGATGCCAGCCCAGCCCCTGGCCCCGGGCCGGACGGGCGGCCTGGGGCCCTCGGACCGGCAGCTGCTGCTCTTCTACCTGGAGCAGTGCGAGGCGAACCTGACCACGCTCACCAACGCCGTGGATGCCTTCTTCACCGCCGTGGCCACCAACCAGCCCCCCAAAATCTTCGTGGCACACAGCAAGTTTGTCATCCTCAGCGCCCACAAGCTGGTATTCATCGGGGACACACTGTCACGGCAGGCTAAGGCGGCCGACGTCCGCAGCCAGGTGACCCACTACAGCAACCTGCTGTGTGACCTCCTGCGCGGCATCGTGGCCACCACCAAGGCCGCTGCCCTCCAGTACCCGTCGCCTGCCGCCGCCCAGGACATGGTGGACAGGGTCAAGGAGCTGGGCCACAGCACCCAGCAGTTCCGCCGGGTCCTGGGCCAGCTGGCAGCTGCCTGAGAGCCGTCAGCCAGAGGGACGGAGGGCAAGGGGAGGAGGGTGGCGATGGGCCCCAAAGAGCCACTGTGCCGCGGGTGTGGGGACAGGCGACCCCAGCTCCACCCGGGCCTGGTGCCCCAGACTGTACAGGGAGTTGTGTATATTTATGGCGGGGCAGGATGTGGGACGGTGCCTCCTCAAAGGAGCCCGAGCAGAGCTGGGCCCCGGACCCAGGCCAGGAGTGGCTGGCCGTCCCTCCTGAGCGTGCTGAGGGCCCGGGGGGGGCCCAACATTCGGGGCTGGGCTGGGGGCTCGCAGACCGCTTGACCCACATGGCCTCAGGTGACCCCTCGGGCTGACCATGAGGGTGCCGTGTCCCCCTGGCAGGGCAAGCGTGGCTGTGGTGTATTCTCTCTGCACCAGGAGAAAACCCTAAAAAACTATTTTTCATTATTGATTTTCCAATCATTTGACTAATAGTCTACATTTAAATAAAATTAAAAAATGAAAAGCATTCTCCTGAGGTGTGAGAGGCAAGAGGACCTGTGAGCGGGAGGGCAGGTGTTTGCCAGTCTGGATGCCACAGGTGGAGTCACGCGTTGGCGAGATCTGTGGCGAGGCTGTGGGCAGCGCCTCGGGAGGGTGAGGAGAAGGTGGGTCCCTTCAGCAGAAAAGGAAGGCTTGGGGAAGCGGGGCTGGGCCGGGAGCTGAGGTGGGGGAGCCTGGGCAGCTGGAGTGAGGTTGAAGAGCGGCCGTCAGAATCCAGGGCTTGAGGCCAGAAAGGCTCAGCGTGAGCACAGTGGCCAAGGGCGCAGCCGTTGCCGAGGTTCGATGAAAATCCAGCATGGTCCCTGGGCAGGCGGTCGAGGCGAAGGCAGATGCAGGGTGATGTGCGGGTGGGAGCAGCTCCAGGAGCCAGTGAGCCCTGCTCGGGCCCCTGTGTCCCGAGGCAGAGGGCGCCCCGCTGGGGGCACCGCTGGGAGAGACACTGTTCCACGCAGAGAAACTTGCTTTCACAGGCCTTATCTAGAACGTAGCTCGTAGAAGGAAGCTCTTAATTTCAGCTTGTGGAACTTCTCCACAAGTGTCCATTTGAATTACACAAGGACTTGGACTCCCAGTTGGGAGGTGGGGGACAGGAGGGGCCCTCACTCTGGGTCAGTGGTCCCCTTTCCGGCAGTCGGGGGTATGTCTGGCAGCCCAAGTAAGGTGAGGGCTCTGGGGACCAGCGGTCCTGCTCCGAGCTCTCACCATTCTGTGTGTGAACTTGGGTCTCATTTCCCCCATCTCTGTGAAGAAGGGGATAGGGCTGGGTATCTGCCAGCTCTCTCCGCTCTGAGCTCCAGAGGGGACCTCAGTGAAGGCAGCCATCCTCCCGCCCCGGCGAAGGCACAGAAGTGAAGATGCGAGCAGTTTTATTTGGGTTTTACACACATGGGGGCTGGGGCGGGGCAGAGGCTCAGTTGGCCTCCAGAACTTCGAGAACCCAGGGAATAAACTTGGTGACCCGGGTGTACACGCCTGGAGAGAACGGGCCACACCGGCCGCTGCCCCAGGACACGATGCCCACCAGGGTCCAGGCTCCATCCTTCTGGCAGACCAGGGGGCCACCAGAGTCACCCTGCAGGAGGAGATAGGACTTGTATTCAAGCCTGAAAGGGAGTACCAGGGCCCTGGTGTGCCCTGACCTGGCAAGTCCAGGGGTGCAGACAAAGCACAAGTGGGGGCCCAGTGGTTGTGCACAGGAGACTCAGATCTGCTCAGATGGCAGCCCCAGCCCTGCCACCTACTCCTGGAGGGCCTGGGGCAGGTGGCTTATCCTCTCAGCCTCCCCATCAGCTGTAAAACAGGCTGAAGCGTCCAGCTCGTGGGGTTGGTGTGAGATTAAATACTCCTGGGAAGCCCCACACCACACCTGGCCAGAGCCGGCCCTCACCAGGGGCGTCTGGTCCAGCCCTTCACTGGGGCACTGGGCAGGGCATGAAGTTAGGTCATGGCAGAGAGGAGTGGGCCTCCTGGCCTGGCCAGGGGAGGCACGGGCAGTGAGGGCGGGCAGGGTGGCGGAGCCAGGCCGTACCATGCAGGAGGAGATGCCGCTGGCGCCCGCACAGATCATCACGTCGGTGATCTTGCTGCCCCAGTACTTCCTGCAGTCAGCGTTGGACACGATGGGCAGGGTCGCCTGCTGCAGCTTGTCGGGGGTCTTGAGAGCTGGAAGGACAGAGGGCGTGGGGTCAGGGCCCCTCATGCCACCAGCCCGCCCCTGGGGAGAAGAGACCAGGGGCCGCCTGAGCCCCGCCCTCCCCCTGCAAGGTCTCAGTCTTCCTCCATCGCGATGATCGTGGACACCGAGCTTCGAACCTTCCCTGACACCTTCAGGGAGTCTGGGACGCAGCTCCTCTGCGATTCCACACCAGGCAGCGGGGACTGTGCTTCCAGCAGCTGCTGCAACAGGTCCTGCCTCGGAGCCCCGTGCACCCTGGGCCCTGGCGGCCACTGTGTGTGGGTGGAGGGGCCGTCCTTCCCCCCCAGGGAAGGGGATGCACGTCCTTCTGACCGGGGACACCGGAGGGGACCCCCGAGGGAGCACCTCCCTCCTGCTGCCCTTTCCCGGCTGCTTCTGTCCTGTTACGGGACCAGCCGGGGGCCGTGGCCGGGGCAGAAGAACTCAGGACACCGAGGAAGAACCTGTGGATGGAGCAGCGCTGGGGGGGCGGTGGGGGGCCGGTGGGGGGCACCTGGGCGCTCAGGCCCGAACCCGACCAGGACACTGGACTCCGGGCCCAGACTTCAGGGGCGCTGGACGCACCGCCCTCCTCAGTCTGGAGGGAAATCCGGGCTGTCCCTCTCCTTGCAGGTGAGAGGGGGCGAGACTTGCTGGTACTTAGGTGTTTCTTCAGAAACTGTTTACGTATATATTATTAACCCTCATTTTTATTCATGTTTGGTAGGGTTTTCATTAAGAGGGTTTTAAGTAAAGAAATGGAAGATTTATTGACTTGCAATTTATGATTGTGTTTGGAATTTAGACCAAAATACAGAATGAGTCTCACTCCTGAAAAGTCCTCACCGTTGTACCGGGTCTTGCCCCAGCCCGTGGTGGTGCACAGGGAGCCCGCAGGGAAGCTGGCGTTGGCGCTGGGCAGGCACACGGCGGACACGGTCCTGGAGAGGCTCACGGGCGTGGCCAGCTTCAGCAGGGCGATGTCGTTTTGGACCGTGCGCAGGTCCCACAGTGGGTGTTCAAAGACCTGTGTGGAAAGGGTGGGGGCTCGGTGGGCCACAGAGGGAGGACTTGGGAGATTTTAGGGACACACAGACCTGCAGACTGGGAGGGGCCGGCGGTGCTAAAGGGGCAGAGTGTTGAGAAGGGAACCCAGATGAGGCTGAACAGACCAAATCTCTGGGGTGCTGGGGAGATGGCATGTGACGTATTTTGCGTTTTTCTACAATGAGCAAAGCTTATAATCAGAAACAACCTTCAGTGTTTGTAAAGGAGCTTTATTACGTGGGAAAGAGAAGAGAGCTCAGACTGGAGGGGTGCCAGTGGGGTGAGGCCTGAGCTGCCGGCCGGGGTCGTCTGCCCACTGCCCCCCTGCCCTCCTTTTCCTTTGTGCCCCAGGGGCCCACCCTCCTGGCTGCCCGCCCGGCCGGCCGTACCTCAGCGATCCTGAGCACCTGAACAGCCTCCTCCTCGGAGCCATGATCAGATACCCCGGCCACCACGAGGTGACTCTTCCTGGAGAGAAAGGAGGTGGCAGACGGAGCTCAGGCTCACGGCCACCTCCTCAGAGGAGCGCCCGGAGAGCGTGCCAGGCAGGGTGAGCCCCGGCTGGGCCACTGAATCGCGTGGTGACCTTGGAGCCTCAGTTTCCCCATCTGTACAGTGAAGGCAGAGGCCCAGGCCAGCTGCCCCGGACCAAGCTGGGGTCTGGGGAGGTGGGGCGCTAGGGCTGGGGTTTTCTGCTGACTGGCTCTGCCTGCAGCCTGGGGACAGAGCAGCTTCTGCCAGACTGTTTCCCACTCGCTGGCAGCGCCCGGTTGGGGTTAGGGGCGAGGGTGGTCTCTTCAGGCAGGTGAGGTGGGGGCCCCTTCTGCCCCAGCCCAGGCCTCACCTGACCCCGCAGTGGGCGGCGGTGACCACCCAGTCCGCACTGATGAGGGAGCCCCCGCAGAAGTGGAAGCCGGAGCTAGTCTGTGGAGACGGGGGGAGGGAGAGTCAGCCTTGCCTCTCCTGCCTGAGCCCTCCCTGTCTAACCTGCCCCTCCCCAGACTCCCCCTCACCTGCAGGGACACCTGCCAGGGCCAGGAGCCGGGGACAGCGTCCTCCCCGTTGACGATCCTGGACAGGCCGCTCAGCACAGGGTCGATGGTGGGGACCCCGCAGCCTGAGGGACAAGGACAGTGCGGCTGGTCAGTGGGTGGTGCCCCAAGGGGGTCAGGGGAAGACTCAGCACTTCCAGGCCTCTGTGGCACCCTGGCACTCAGAGTTTTGTCCGCTGCAAGGAGTTCAGCCCCCCACGAGTCCAGCTGACAGCTGCCCTTAGAAGGTGCCCTTGTGGACGGTCCCCGAGGCTGAGGGTATCTGGAGTCGGGGCCCAGGCTCCCCAGCCTGCTCTGTGCCCTGAGGGGAGTGTCCATGCCACTCTGAGCCCAGGATTCTGTCCTGGGGGCTGGGATGTCCTGCTTGAGTCCTGGGGGTTCTCATGGCCTCTGAGTCTGCAGGGGGAGCAGGTTTGGGTGAGGTTGTTACCCCAGTTGGGGGGGCACACACGCAGGAGGCTGTCCAGATCCCGAGGGTGGAGGTGCAGGGCAAGATGGATGGACCTGGGAGACGTTCTCGAGGCAGCATTCACACAGCTTGGTGGCACGTTTGGAGGGTGGAGGAGCCCAGACCACCCCAGCTTCTGAGTGAATGGAGGAGACCAAATTAGGCAGGGCCCACGGGACCTCCAGGCAGTGGAGGGGGCTCCAGGAGCGCCCAGTGGAGGAGTGGGGGACTGGGCAGAGCAGCCCAAGGAGGCTCAGGGGGCAGCTGCAGGGGCAGGTGGCAGGGGTGTTAGAGGTATGAGGACTAGGGCCCTCCTGTTCCCTGCCTCTGGGTGGGGGGTCGGGGTGGGCAAGGCTCGGCCTGGGGCTGTCGGGCCTGCCTGAGCCTCGCGCTTACCGAAGCTGCTGCCAAAGAGGAAGAAGCCAAGGACAACCCAGAGAAGGGCCATGGCGCGCGACTCAGCAGGTGAGATGGGGCCTGCCCGAGGGACCGCCCAATATATTCCCTCAAGCCTCCAATCTTAGCCTGTCTCGCCATCCCCTCCTTATCATGAGACCTTGGGCTGAGAAGCACCTGGCTCAGCGCGGGCCTGAGCCCTTGGGGGCCACTCCTGGGAATGTTTCCTGGAATCACAGGTGTGTGGGCAGGCCCCGGGCACACAGAGCCGGGGGCAGATGGTGAGGACCCCGAAGTTGGAGGTGGGAGCATGAGGTGAGAGGTGGGGGTCACGGTCCCCCTTTATCTGCCTGTGCCCTTCCTGGCCACTCTTGGGAGGTGGACTAAGGAGGGGCCCTCCTGGACACCCCCGGACACCTGGCTCAGTGAAGGTCCAAATTCAGGAGCAGAGTGGACTCCCAGAAGCCCCAAAACAGGTCACAGACACCATCAGCACGTCTTCCACTGGTTTATTGAGGCTTTGTGGAAGCAAGGTCAGCAGGGAGGCCAGGGTGAAGCCTGGTCGTCAGTTGGCTGCCAGGATGTGCTGCACCCAGGGGATGAGTTCAGTGACGCGGGCATACACGCCGGGGCTGGCGGTGGAGCAGGTGCCGCTGCCCCAGGACACGATGCCCACCAGGGTCCAAGCTCCATCCTTCTGGCAGACCAGGGGGCCACCAGAGTCGCCCTGCAGGACAGGGAGGAGGGGGCTTGGGTCTGGCAGCCCAGGTGGCCTGGTCCAGAGGCCACTGAACGTTGTTCCCAGAGCCCAGTCCCAGGCCTGATAGCCAGTAGAAGCTCAGAACATGCATATGAGAAGGATTATGAAAGAAACTTCAGCAGCTCCTGTGGTTTGTGCCCCTGGAAGTCTGGGCTACCCCCAGGGGTAGGGTCCTATAACAGAGGCTCAATAGAGCAGGTTTCACTGATAGGAGGAAAGCATGGGTGGTGCTGGCTGTGGGGCTACTGTGAGGGAGGAAGGGCTGCCAGACCCCTTCTGGAGCCCTTTTGGGCCACCATGCTCTGCTGCCCAGGCTGTGCACTGCACAATTCCAGGAGGTGCCATTACTCAGACTTTGATATTAGTGGAATCTTGCAATATGGCAGCTCTGAGACCAGAGCCCCTTGCTCTGGTACCTCTCTGCTGAGGTCACTGATGACCCTCCAGGAGCCCTGTCTTCCCAACTACTCAGGCAGGAATGCCCAGGGAGAGAGTGGCAGGCCCTAGAAAGAGGTCTGCCTGCTACTTCCATTTCTTCTCTCTTTGCCCAAGCCCTTGGCCTGGGCTTTGGCCTGAACCCACCCCACGCTGGGAGGGAAGGGAGCCTAGGAGGCCATACCATGCAGGAGGACACGCCGCTGGCGCCGGCGCAGACCATGCTCTTGGTGATCTTGCTGCCCCAGTATTTCTTGCAGTCGGTGTTGGACAGGAGGGGCAGAGTCGCCTGCTGCAGCCTGTCGGGGGTGTTGGCATCTGGAAGGGCAGGGTGGGTGGTTAGTGACTGCTGCCCCTACCTCCCACCTGGCCAGCCAGTGGTCTCTCATCACTCACTGGTGTGTTTGGTCAGGCCCCAGCCAGTCGTGGCGCACAGCGTCCCGGCGGGGAAGTCATCATTAGCGCTGGGCAGGCACACGGCGGACACGGTCTTGGAGAAGCGCGCAGGCGTGGCCAGCTTCAGCAGGGTGATGTCGTTGCTGTTGGTGAACGGGTTGTACCTGCGGTTCTTGAAAACCTGTGGGGCAGGGCCAGACAGCTGCCTTTGGGGTCTGGGAAGAAGCCGACCGGGGCAGAACCTGGCGCCAGGCTACCCCTCACGGCCTCAGTGCTCCTCCGTGGACAATGGCCTGTTCAACTCGGCAGCTCCTTCCACGGCCCCAGGAGCCCGAGGCCCAGGACCAAGGTGCAGACCTTACCCTCATGGAGCCTTGCATACCCTGCTTTCTGCTTTGCCCCATCATGATGGGTTATTGGGGTGACTGGGAGGAGCTGGGGCCCTGGGGGTTAGCCTGGGCTGCACACTCCCGAGGGTCCACCCTGCCTGGGGTCACACCTGGACCCTGGGGGCTGCCATACCTTGGCAATCTTCAACACCTGGATGTCCTCGGCGTCTGAGCCCTGGTCAAACTCCCCGGCCACGACCAGATGGGATGTTCTGGAGAGGGCCAGAGAAAGGAGTGGTTCCTGCCATGAGGGGGGCATTTGGGATGCAGGGTGCTTGTGTGTGTGAGTGCACGCGTGTGCAGGCGTAATGCGCATGCGTGTCTTTGTGCGTCTGCACACACGGCTGTGGTGTCGATCAGAGATGGAAGCTCAGAATCTCAACTGGGCCTACAGCCCGCCATGTGTTTTCCCAGGGACCCCTAGGTCACTGGAAGGACCTGGGTTTGCTACACATTTCCAAATAAGAAACTGGGAAATGAAGGCGTTAAAGGGCAAGTCCTCAGTGCTGGAGGAAACCACCCCAAGGGGTTTCTTGGGGACCCCGGGCTCTCACCTGACACTGCAGTGGGCGGCGGTGACCACCCAGTCCTCGCTGATGAGGGAGCCCCCGCAGAAGTGGAAGCCGGTGCTGTCCTGGAGGAAGATGGGGAGGGTCAGCCCCGCCCAGACACCAGCAAAACCAATCTGGGCAGCAGCGCCCAGCTGGGCTAATACCCCAGTGCATCCCCCTACTCGTGTGCAGAATTGCCCCCTCACCTGCAGGGACACCTGCCAGGGCCAGGAGCCGGGGACAGCCTCCTCCCCGTTGACGATCCTGGAGAGGCCACTCAGCACAGGGTCGATGGCAGGAACCCCACAGCCTGAGGGTGGAAGTATGGAGTGAGGGGTGGAGGCCAAGGTCCCACCCAGGACTCACCACCCCAGGAATACTCCGGGGACAATTCAGGCTGACATGTGCTCCAGCCCAGACAAGCCCAACAGGCTGAGCTTGAGGTGGTGGCAGGGCCAAAGCCTGGGCTGGGAGGCCCTATCACTGCCTACCGCAACCACTCTGAGTCTCAGTTTTCCCACCAGCAAAATGGGGATCTTACAGTTGGCTAACCTCACAGAGTTGGTATAATAAGGATGAAAGATGCTTTGTCTTAGTAGACAAAGCAGGCAAAGCAGGAACTTGCTCAGTTCCTGGCACACAGTGAACAAAAGTGGAAAAGTTTAAAAGGGCTGGTTCAAGGGCATGAAAGGGCTGATGGGGGCCAAGCCACACTTGCTCATCATCTGAGCCTGCTTGGGAGCCACCAACTCTTCACAGAGCTTTCTGTCCCTCTGGAATTGCTGCCCCTCCCTGCACACGATGCGAGGCCCCAGGAAGGTCCACCTCCACCCCGGGGGCCTCACACTGGCTGGTCTGGTCCAGTCCTCCCAGCATCCTCATTGTAGAGATGGAGCTGGTGAGGCTCAGAGAGGGAGAAAGACTCGCTCGGGCTCACACCACCACACACAACTGAACTGGGAGCAGGGACCCCGCTGCTCCTTGCTGGCCTTGGGGTTGGTGGGGCCAGCACCCCTTCCAGCAGTTGGTGGAAGGGTAGGCAGCCTTCCCGGCCTCTGCCTGCCCTGGTGCTCACCAAAGGCTGTGCCCAGGAGGGCGCAGCAGGAGAGAAGCCAGAGGAAGGTCATGGTGCCGCAGTCAGGGAGGTGTAGGACGCCTGCCTGGAGGGCTCCCCATTATATCCCTGTGCACCAGGCTGTTATCTGAAGACCTTGAGGTGATAATCCCTTTCCTGGGCATGTGTCCCAGTGGGCAGGATATGCCAGAGCAGGGCTGGCATCAGGGCCTGGGATGGCAGCAGCTGGGGCCAGGATCTAGGGCAAAGTTGGGGCCAAACAAGGCGGCCCTCCACCCACAGCTAAGGGGAAGGGGACATTCAGGTTTCCTCCTCCAGGCCCTACCTCTAGAGGGGCCCTGCGGGCAGCAGCCAGGCCTGGGCTGGATTTGAGCCCCAGCCAAGTCTCTCATGGTCTGGAGGACCTTGGACAAGTAATTTAGTTGGTCTGCAGTTGTTCAAAACCCCATGGGCAGTGTGGTCAAGTAGGGGGAGGGGCAGGGACCAAAGCATGATGAGGGCACAGGTGACCAGTGGGCTGAGGATGCTCCCCTAGTCTTAGGATGGCCAAGAAGGCTCAGTGGCTCAGTTCAATATCAGGGGCAGTCACGTGGGCTGGTTCAGAGGGCAAGCCGCCCACTGCCCGTTCACGCGGAGTCAGGCCCCTCCACCCAGGCATCCTGCCCTTGGAATTGAGTACATGGCATTCAGGTGCAGGACTGGGCCCAGGGCCAGCCAGGGGGCCTCTGCTATCATCCCAGCAAGAGCTTCTGGAGGCTACACCAGGCGGGAAAGCAGGGGGCAAGGAGGCCTGTTTTGGGTGGGCAGCAGGGCCCTTTCCCAGCAACTGGGAAACTGGGGAGGGGGAAGTTTGAAGGTGAGGCTACCAGGCACAGGGCAAGTACCCCAAAACACATAGGTAAAACGATATCTTACGGCTATTTTTTTTTTTTTGCGGTATGTGGGCCTCTCACTGCTGTGGCCTCTCCCGTTGCGGAGCACAGGCTCCAGACACGCAGGCCCAGCGGCCATGGCTCATGGGCCCAGCTGCTCCGCGGCATGTGGGATCCTCCCGGACCGGGGCACGAACCCATGTCCCCTGCATCGGCAGGCGGACTCTCAACCACTGCGCCACCAGGGAAGCCCACTTATGGCTATTTTTAATTTCCATTGCATTGATGATTGTTGTGTGGTGGGTCACAGGTTTCAGCACAAAACAGCTGTGGGGCCTTGGGCAAGTTACCCTCTCTGATCCCATTTCTAAATATGTAAAATGGGGATCCTTAGAGCAAGGGTCCCGCTTTATGAAAGGGCACAGTCCATACTGAGTGTGCTGGGACCAGGCCTAACACAGTCCACGCTGGTCAGACCTAGTACTTCTTCTTGACTTGCCTGTGGGGTCCCTTTGTGCTTTCTAGAAGACTGCCAATAACAGGGAGGGATGGCCACAGTGCATTAGGTGGGAAAGCAGGGCACGAAACAGGATGCAGAGTGTGGCACCATCTGTGTGAAACCCACCACTTGTGCAATTCCATCCATCCCATCAACCAGCGCTTACCAGGCCCCTGCTGGAACAGAACAAACGAAAGAAACACAAATTCCTGACTTACAAGCTTAGGTGGGAAAGGGGTGGGGAGTTGATGGAAAAGAGTTAAAAAAAAAAAAAAAAAGTAGGAGGCTTCCCTGGTGGCGCAGTGGTTGAGAGTCCGCCTGCCGATGCAGGGGACACCGGTTTGTGCCCCGGTCCGGGAAGATCCCACATGCCGCGGAGCGGCTGGGCCCGTGAGCCATGGCCGCTGAGCCTGCGCGTCCGGAGCCTGTGCTCCGGAACGGGAGAGGCCACAACAGTGAGAGGCCCGCGTACCGCAAAAAAAAAAAAAAAAAGTAAAATATACATTACTACCAGCTAAGGAGTTATCATTATCATTGTTATTATTATTATTAATACCGAGGCAGGAGGGCCTCACTCCGAAGGGGACATTAAGTTGCTACCCAAGAGTTTGCCAAGCTATCTGGGTGGAGACGGTGTCCAGGGGGAGGGAACAGGGAGGGCAAAGGCCTGGTGGAGGGAGCCTGGGTGGCACCAAGAGCCGAGAGGACACGAGGCAGGGCGGAGAGGCCAAGGGTCCGACAGAGAAGGGCCCTGGTGAAGGTACAGGGCTGTCCCGAGTGTCTGCCAAGATGTGAGGCGGCAGCCGCCGGGCCTGAGTGGGGGAGGGGCGCGGCCGGTGAGGGAGGGCACGCGGCGGCTCGAACCCACCCGTGGCTGTGGTCTTGGGAGCCGACAGCTGGCCCGAGTCCTGCCCTCCCAGCGGCCCCTGCTCATGGTTGCCAGAGACCTGGGAACTCGCGCAGCTGCGGGTGGGGGCGGGGAAGGCGGCCCCCGCAGGTGCTCGACTCCTGCTGGGGGCGGGGCCAAAGCTGACTGCGGCCGGGCGCGCGGACCTCCACCCGCCCCGCCCCCTCGCCTGGCGTTTCGACCAGAGAGACTGCGCACTCCGCAGAACGCCCGACCCCGAGGAAGAACGCTTAAGCTCAGAGTGTTAGGTGCCCCCCATTCTCCAAAACGCCGGGCCCTGAACTTCCTGCCTCTGGGCCTTTGCCCGCTCTGTTCGCTCCCTTTAGAAGGTCCACCGCCCTTCCGGCCCCGGCCTCGGCCGTGAGCACCTCCTTGTAGGCAGCAGTTCAGCCTTAGCTATGGCTGACCAGCGGCAAAGCCGGCAGCAATCAGAGGCCATGGATGAGTCGATAGATCCCTGGACCCAGAAGTTATTTAGCCAATCAAGTTTACAGTAAAGAGCATTTTCCTGGGTTCACTTTGTCGCTGATACTTTTCTCTCCCATCCTCGGGTTTGGAACCCTGCCTCATCTCTAGACGCCTGGAGCCCAGCCATCTCTGCTCATGCAAACTCCCAGGGAGAAGGTACAGCCTTGTTCGCGGGTTGTCTGCCACGTCAGAAAACCTTCACTCTGCACCTGTTACCTCGTTGCAGGTATGTGGCGTCTAGTGTGTTTAATGGGCAGTGCTGAAATCAGCCCACGAACAGGTGTAAATCAAAGAAAGTCACTCAGGAGATGACCCAATGCACGGGGACCCTCATGGGGTCGGCTCTCTCCCAGGCAGCCTGGGTTTGGGGAAAGAGCTTTGCTTGGAGTAGGGGGCCCTAATCCAATCCCTGCCCAGCCACCTCCTGGGATTTGGCCTTGGGAGTGGTGTTGTGTCAGGGTTCCAGGTCCTGACTGGGCGGCGGGGCAGTGCGCATGCGTCCCTCCAGGACCCGCATCTCTGAGACTGTGCCATCTTCTTCGAGGCAGGAACTCAGAAGTCAGTTTTCTTAGATGAAGGAGCTACTCCTCTTGAAGTCGTGCCACTGAGGGGGTCAAATCCCAACCCTCTGTTTTACTAAAAATAAGATATATTGAAAGTATAATTTACACATGGTGAAATGCACAGATCTTAAGTGAAGAGACGGATAAATTTTGACATATACATACCGTAGTGTAACAAACGCCACAACCACGATATAAAGTATCATCACCCCCACCATACAGTATGCTGTCTTTGTGTCTGGATTCTTTCACTCCACCAGATGGTTTTGCGATTCACTTGTGTTCCTGCGTGTATCCCCAGTGTGTTCCTTCTTATTGCTGAGTGGTGTTTCACTTCATAAGCACACCACACTTTGTGCACCCATTCTCCGGCTAGGACATTTGGGCTGTTACCCCTCCCCCACCCCACTCCCTTTTTTTTTTTTTTTGCGGTACGCGGGCCTCTCACTGTTGTGGCCTCTCCCGTTGCGGAGCACAGGCTCCGGACGCGCAGGCTCAGCGGCCATGGCTCACGGGCGCAGACGCTCCGTGGCATGTGGGATCTTCCCGGACCGGGGCACGAACCCATGTCCCCTGTATCGGCAGGCGGACTCTCAACCACTGCGCCACCAGGGAAGCCCCCCACTCCCTTTTTGCTCCTTGTAATGAAGTGATTCTCAGCCCTAAACATAGGCAGGCAAGAAATGTAGGTTTCTTTATTTTTCTATTAGAGAATGCAATTTGAATTTCGATCCTTTATTCTGCCAGGAGTCTCACTGGAGAGTCTAACAAAGAGACTGTTTCTAAAGGTGTGGCCAGGGTTTAGGGAAACCATAAGGAGGTGCAGGTCAGCATAGGGCTAGGGTCAGTGGGCCTGGAAACGCAAGAGTGGTTACCTGGCCCTTGGGGAGGGCGATACGCAAGGGGGAGGCCGCCAACAGGAGCTTGGCTTTTGTGGAAATCAGTGAAGACCACCCAAATGAGAACGAGTAGAGGCTGTTCATTCGGAGCTTGCTATAGCCTGGCAGTCAGGCAGCATCACTTGTAGCATCACTTTTCCATTCCCACCAGTAATGTATGAGGATTCCAATTTCTCCACAACCTTGCCAAAACTTATTTTCCATTTAAAAAATTATAGGTGTGAAGGGTTACCTCACTGTTTTTTTTTCAATTTTCAAAATTGTGCTAAAATACATATAATATAAAATTTACCATCTTAGTCATTTTAAGTGGACAGCTCGGAATGTACTAAGTGCATTCATATTGTTGTGCAGCCATCACCGCCATCCATCTCCAGAACTCTTTTTTAATTGAAGTGCAGTTGATGTACAATATTGTATGTCACAGGTGTACAATATAGTGAGTCACAATTTTTAAAGGTTATACTCCATTTATAGTTATTGTAAAATATTGGTTGTATTTCTCATGTTGTACAATGTGTCCTTGTAGCTTTTTTGTTTTTTCTTCCCCCCGACCTCCCTGCCACGGCATGGGGGGAGGGTCTTAGTTCCCCTGACCAAGGATTGAACCTGTGCCCCCTGCAGTGGGAGCGAGGAGTCTTAACCACTGGACCAGCAGGGAAATCCCCCATGGAACTTATTTTATACATAATAGTTTGTACCTCTTAATCCTCTACCCCTATATTGCCCCTCCGCCCAGAACTCTTCTCATCTTGCAAAACTGAAACTCTTTATCCGTTAATCTATAACTCTCCTACCCCCAGCCCCAGGCAACCAGCATTGAATTGACTATCCTCAGTACCTGGTATAAGTGGAACCATACGGTATTTGTCTTTTTGTGATTAGCTTATTTCACTTGGCATAATGTCCTCCAGGTTCATCCACGATGTAACATATGTCAGAATTTTCTTTCTTTTTGGGTCTGAATAATACCGCATTGTTTATGTATATATTGTTTATATATACCACATTTGGTTTATTCATTCATTGGTCAATGGATACTTGGGTTGCTTCCTCTTTTTAGCTACTGTAAATAATACTGCTATAAATATGGGTGTACAAATATCTTTTTGTAATATTTATTTAATTTTTTAAGTGAAGTAGACTTGATTTACAATGTTGTGTTAATTTTGCTGTACAGCAAAGCGACTCAGTTATACACATATGTACATTCTTTTTTTAAAATTAATGAATTAATTAATTTATGGCTGCGTTGAGTCTTTGTTGCTGCACACGGGCTTTCTCTAGTTGTGGCGAGCTGTGGCTGCTCTTCGTTGCAGTGCACGGGCTTCTCATTGTGGTGGCTTCTCTTGTTGCGGAGCACGGGCTCTAGGCATGCGGGCTTCAGTAGTTGTGGCATGCGGGCTCAGTAGCTGTGGCTCGTGGGCTCTAGAGCGCAGGCTCAGTAGTTGTGGCGCACGGGCTTAGTTGCTCAACTAAGTTGCACATGGGCTCAAACCCATGTCCCCTGCACTGGCAGGCGGATTCTTAACCACTGTGCCACCAGGGAAATCCCTATACATTCTTTTTTTATATTCTTTCCATTATGGTTTATCCCAGGATATTGAATATAGTTCCCTGTGTTATACAGTAGGACCTTGTTGTTTATCCATTCTATATGTAATAGTTTGCATTTACTAACCCCAAACTCCCACTCCATCCCTCCCCCATCCCCTCCCCCTCCCCCTTGGCAACCACAAGTCTGTTCTCTATGTCTGTGAGTCTGCTTCTCTTTTGTAGATAGGTTCATTTGTGGCATATTTTAGATTCTACGTATAAGTGATAGCATATGGTAGTTATTTGTCTTTCTCTTTCTGACTTATTTCACTTAGTATGATAATCTCTAGCTGCATCCATGTTACTGCAAATGGAATTATTTTGTTCTTTTTTATGGCTGAGCAATATTCCATCGTATATATGTACCACATCTTCTTTATCCATTCATCTGTCAGTGGACATTTAGGTTGTTTCCATGTCTTGGCTATCGTGAATAGTGCTGCTATAAACATAGAGGTGCATATATCGTTTTGAATTATAGTTTTGTCCGGATATATGACCAGGAGTTGGATTGCTGGATCATATGGAAATTCTATTTTTAGTTTTCTGAGGAACCTCCATACTGTTCTCCATAGTGGCTACACCAATTTACATTCTCACCAACAGCATAGGAGGGTTCCCTTTTCTCTACACCCTCTCCAGCATTTGTTATTTGTAGACTTTTTAATAATGGCCATTCTGACCAGTGTGAGGTGGTACCTCATTGTAGTTTTGATTTGCATTTCTCTAATAATTATCGATGTTGTGCATCTTTATTTTTGCGGTACACTCGGGCCTCTCGCTGTTGCGGCCTCTCCCGTTGCGGCCTCTCCCGTTGAGGAGCACAGGCTCCGGACGCGCAGGCTCAGCGGCCATGGCTCACGGGCCCAGCCGCTCTGCGGCATGTGGGATCTTCCTGGACCAGGGGACGAACCCGTGTCCCCTGCATCGGCAGGCGGACTCTCAACCGCTGCGCCACCAGGGAAGCCCGATGTTGTGCATCTTTTCATATGCCTATTGGCCATCTGGATGTCTTCTTTGGAGAAATGTCTCCCTCCAGCCCCAGGCAACTAGCATTGAATTTGGCTGTTCTAAGTACCTGATGTAAGTGGGATCATACAGTATTTGATTTTTTGTGATTAGCTTATTTCACTTGGCATAATGTCCTCCAGGTTCATCCATGATGTAGCATATGTCAGAATTTTCTTCCTTTTTGGGTCTGAATAATATTCCATTGTGTGTGTGTGTGTGTGTGTATATATATATATATGTGTATATATATATATATATATATACACCACATTTTGTTTATTCATTCATCAGTCAATCGACACTTGGGTTGCTTCCATGTTTTAGCTACTGTAAATAGTGTTGCTATGAACATGGGGGTACAAATATCATTTTGAGACCCTGCTTTTAATTCTTTTGAGTATATACCCAGTAGTGGAATTGTGGGATCATATGGTAAATCTATTTTTAATTTTTTTTTTTTTTTTTTTGCGGTACGCGGGCCTCTCACTGTTGTGGCCTCTCCCGTTGCGGAGCACAGGCTCCGGACGCGCAGGCTCAGCGGCCATGGCTCACGGGCCCAGCCGCTCCGCGGCATGTGGGATCTTCCCGGACCGGGGCACGAACCCGTGTCCCCTGCATCGGCAGGCGGACTCTCAACCACTGTGCCACCAGGGAAGCCCTATTTTGAATTTTTTGAGGAATTACCATATTGTTTTCCACAGTGGCTGCACCATTTTACATTCTCATCAACAGTGCACAAGGGTTCCAATATCTCCACATTCTCTCCAATTCTTATTAATTTGTTTTTTTTCTTTTTTGTTGTTTATATTAACCATCCTAATGAGTGTGAATTGATACCGCGCTGTGGTTTTGATTTGCATTTCCCTAAAGACTGGTGATTTTTGATCACTTTTTTATGTGCTCATTGGCCATCTGTATGACTCCTCAATATTTATAATCACCACTGATGCTGTAGGAACTTAGTGCCCCAGCCACATGACCGCCAGGGCCTGTTTCCACCTGCACTTCAGCCTCTGCCGCCTCCCATGTTAATTTGAGTAATTGTGATGCCACTGCGTGCCATGGGCCACCAGGTCTCATCTTCCCCGGCAAAGTTGTCCATGGACCACTCCAGTGTGTGAGCTAACCAATCCCAGAATCCCATGTTCAGTGGTCCTGGGGCCACGGTTACTGTATCAGTCATGGTCGTGCCTGAGAAAAGGTGGCACGTTCAAACTGGGTTATTTGAGGAAAGTTTGAATAAAGGGAATTTTTACAAAGGTGTGGGCAGGGTTTAGGGAACCAACAAAGGATGGTGAGGTGTACAGGGTTCTAGCAACAATGGGGACACACCTAGAGCTGAAGGGACACAGCGGGAGTAGTTGTGGAACCCAGCAAGGGTGGCTGAGCAGACAGAGCCACCTGAAAGGAGCCGAGCTGTCCGTGGCCTCTGCAGAGGAAGACAGCCAGCCCACAGCAGCCTCCCAGGGAGGGAACCCAGAGAATAAATACCCGACTTCTCTCTCCTCCCCCGTCTCCGGCTCTGACCCCAACAGGAAGCCTGAGAGCCTGGAAGCTGTTCTGCAGTCTCGTCCCTGAGGGCCAGTCTTGCTGTAGGCCAGCAAGGTGGAGAAGGATGGAGAGTGGATCTGAAGGGGAAAACGGAAGACATCCACAGCCATTCTTACAGCTATTCTGTATCACTTCAGATGCTGTTAGTAATAGAGCAGGTGGCTAACAGTGGCGAAACAACAGTGGTTTGCTTTTCTCACACAGCAGGGATCTGGAGGTGTGCAGTTGTAGCCTTTCGCTCAGCACTGGGCGATGGTGTGGTTCTGGTCAGGGTCTTTCTTCTCTGGTCTCAAGATGGCGGCCAGCCCCGCCTCCCCTCAGGACTCAGCCAAAGTGCAGGAGGAGAAGGGCTGGGCTTCTCCTCACCTCTTTGCCTCCACGGGATTACGTTCATCAGAGCTCTCCCCCCGCCGCCCCCAGAGCTGGGGTGGCGTGACGCTCCCCGGGAGCCCTCCACGGGGACAAGAAGGGGGAGATGGCTCTAGGTGAGTGGCAAAGGCTGTCCCTCCTTGTGACGGGACAGTCACCCTGCTCCCAGGGAGTACTCACCTCGTGGTCTGGTTTGAACGAGGGGATGGGTGGAGCAGAAAGGGATCCTTCAAAGTAAGAAACACACCAGCCAATGTGCACAAATCTCTGTGGGCCGGGAAGTAAGAAACACACCAGCCAATGTGCACAAATCTCTGTGGGCCGGGAAGCGCTCCCTCCCCTGTGACACACCCTCCAAGGCCATATCCCTCCTGCACTCTGCTCCGCCAGGAGTTTACTTTCCCAACAGACCTCAAGAGCCAGTGGCCTCAGGCTGCTTCCGTTTCCTGCTCTGGAAAAGTCCTCGAGGCGAGGAAAATACAAATGTCTTTTCTACCTGCTTGGAATGAGTGAAGGAAAAACAAAACGAAACAGCAAATGTTAATATTTACATAAATTACCTTGGCCTGGAATTCAATATGGATTCCTTATGCTCAAAGCCAGGGCTGACATCCCTGGCCTGAACCCAGTCTGTTAAAATATCACAAAGCTTCAGACCCGGTTACCAAGCAGCTGCTGGCCCCAGTCTGTTTGCCCCCTGAAATTTGGCTGTCTCCGCCCTCCCCCAGAGAACAGGGTTCGGGGCCTCCGCGGGCCAGTCCCTGCCGAAGCCACTGTTCTCCCTGGTCAGAGCTTCTGCTCAACAGTGGTTAAATAGTTTGAACATCCCCCTGCAGAGAACACACGACTCTAAAACAAAATTAAATTTACAGCTCCAAAACAAAACTAAAGTTACAACTCAGAGACAAAACTTCAAAACTAATCAAGTCCAAATCAAGACCTGTGACATTGTCCTGTTTGCTCTGACCCACTTCTCCCTAGATGACCATGGCCCTGTGGCCGCAGAGCCCCGGAGGCCTTGGAAGCAGGTGCAGTTCACCCAGTCAGCACATTTTCCTTCTCAAACTGGCTCAGCAGTGAGGCCCAGGCTGGATTGTCCAGGGCAGCAGCTTTCCAGACCCTCTCCAGGTTTCTCAGACTCATCTGTTCTTTTCTTGTTTGTTTCCTGTCTGTGTCTCTCACTGGGGTCTTGGACCCATGAGGGCAGGGGTGCCCTGTGCTCTGTTCCCGTGGGTGCTCCAGTGTCCAGATCAGGCGCTGTCCCAGGGGAGAGAAGGAACTTGTGCCCATGGTGCTGACAAGTCTTCTGGCCTCCACTTACGGCAAACGCATCACTGGTGTATTACCTACATCTGTCCTCTTCTCGTTGTTCTGTGACAATTAAAATCGTTTTTCTGTTTTCTCCATGTGTCATTTGATGGTGTGAAATCAAAGCCCCATTTTATATGAAACTCAAGCGTTATGTGGTGACCAGTTCCTTAAGTTGAGAATGATGACAGGAGAAGAGAATTCGGGTGAGCTCAGCGGCAGATAAGGGACAGCCAGTCAGCATGTTTGCCAGCCTGTGACCCGCCCACAGCCACCCATGGGGGCGATTCCTTCATGCCTACATGTGTCCTCATGCAGGCTCTGAAGCTGCTTGGCTGGGCTGGTTTCAAGGTGATCCTCTGGATGACACGGCGTCTCTGTATGATACTACACTTCAAAAAACATTATTTATTTATTTGCCGCGCCGCGAGGCATGTAGGATCACAGCGTGTGGGATCTTAGCTCCCCGACCAGGGATCGAACCCGTACCCCCTGCAGTGGAAGCACGGAGTCCTAACCACTGGGCCACCAGGGAAGTCCCATCCTGAATCTCACATTGAAAACCCTCTTCGATGGGAACGCGAGGCCCCCCAGTGATGACCAGCTGGGATTCTTTGGACCCCACGGTGGGGTTGCCTGTACTGAGGAGCTGGGAATCCTCCCTGGTGCACTGGGCGTGGCAGAGCCCCCGGCCCTGCGTTCTGGTTGCAGAGCTGGGCTATGCAGGGCCTGAGCTCCCAGCCTGGACACTGGCCTTGCCCGCAGTGTCCTGGGGATGCCAGGCGTTGCCAAGTTTCCTGGGTGACATTGTGCCAGGGCAGCTGCCCTTTTTCCAGGGGCTGGATGTCCCCAGCTGAGAGCCAGTACAGGCTTCGAAGGGGGCTCGTCCCCCCCACCCCCGTCCCGCTTATCGCCCAAGGTTCCTGGATAACAGGAGGGTGGCTCTCAGGCCTCTCTGGCTGGGCTGGGCCTGTGGGGTCCCAGGGGATATAAAAGGAGCCGCTGGGGCAGGTGCCCCATATCTCCCTGACGGTAGCAGCATGGCTTTTCTCTGGCTCCTCTCCTGCTTCGCCCTCCTGGGGGCCACCTTCGGTGAGTGCTGGGGCTAGGGGCGCCAGCCAGGTCTGGGAGGGGGCTGAGGAGTAGTTCCCTGAGCCCCTAATGGCACCGCAGCCAGGCCCCATCAGAGGCTGGAGGGGCTCTGTCCGGAGCAACCTGGGGGCCTGGCCAAGAGGGAGATCTGAGCCCCCTTCCCTGCTCCCTTGGGCCTCACACCCTGATAGGCAATCGAGCCTGCAGGGAGGAGAGGGGTCCTTCTGGAGCTTTCTGAGCCCTCACACCCTGCACTGGAAGGGTGGAAAAGGCCAGTCTGGGCCGCACCGAGATCTGAGGCCCCAGAAGTGGCCCAAGTTGTGGGCAGAGAAGGGTGTGGTAGCAAGAGCCCTCCCACGGCCTCCACCTGGGGTTTTTATTTACTCTTCTGGGCACTTGCTAAGTGTTTCATTTTCTATTAAAAAAAGATGAAATAGTGAAAAATACAAAAAATAATATGACATCCATGTACCTTCCATTGGGATTTAGCGAATGTTATCTTTTTCCAGGTTTGCTTCAGGTATTTCTTTTTAAAACATAAAACAGATTCAGCTAGAGTCCCCTCTCCTCCTCGGAAGGTGATCCCTATTCTGAGCTCACTGTGTATCACTTCTGTGTGGGATTTTACAAATTTACTACACATTCATAAGTCCATCAACACAGTATAACATTTGTAAAAACTTACATGAACTGTGTTATCCGCTACATCAGGTTTATAACATGCCTTTTCCCACCCGGGTGGTTTTAGATTTATCCCAGTTCGTATGAAGACCCAGCTCGTTCACTTTAATCGCTGTAAAACACTCAGCTGTGTGAATACATCACAGCTGATATTCTAATCTTGCTATTACAAAAAAGTGGATTATGTTGATGACATGTTTTGGTGATAACAACCTTCAGTGAGTGGCTGGTGCATCCCCCTGTCCCCAGGGGCGGGATGCCGGTCCGGGCATGCGGCAAGGCCTGCATGACCCCCGGGTGGCCTGGCTGGTCGTAAGGGCTGTACCTGCCCAACTTTCTTTACTGTCGCCAAATTGTAAAACCTGTATGCAGGTGCCGAGAACTCACCTGGTCCTGACACAGCAAATGCGTCAGGAACACATTAAGTACACGTGACTTTTCTCATTGTTTTGTGACAATTCAGGTCCTTTGTGACAATTCAGGTCCTTTGTTTTCAGTTTCCTCAACGTGTCCTTTTACGGCATGGAATCAAAGTCCCGTTGTATTAAATAATTAACTAAAACTTTATACAATGAAGAGTTCCTGAAATCTCTGGGACTAGTGAATTCAGTGTAAAACATACCCCATCAGCTGTCGGAATTCTGGGTCCCCCAGGGGCTGGGGTTATCAGATTTGAATTCCAGGCCCCACCAGTCTAATGGGTGAGCTTTGACTTGTGAGGTGAGATTGTTTGCTCCCCAGTTTACTGAGGAAAATGAGCATCGGGGATTCAGTGACTGGTCTGAGGCTTCACAGCAAGGAAGGGTGGGGCCTGGGAGTCCAGGCAAGGGTAGTCCGATTACTCAGCCTGTTTTCTGCTCTTTCAGGCAGGGTGGCCCTGGGTGGGAGCAGCCCTGTTCCTCTGCATCCCTGGATGGGACACTGGGGTCAGCAGGCTGTATGTGGGGATCCTTGAGTCCACAGGTGGAAGGCACCAGGAGAAGTTTTTTGGAGGAGGGGGGAGTGTGGCAGAGGGTCCTGAGTCAGCCTGGGCAGCTGAGCTACAAACCAGGATTTCTGCAGACTGGCTCCGGGTCTCAAACCTTCTTCCTCGTCCCCTCGCCCTCCTCAGGCTGCGGGGTCCCTGCCATCGACCCTGTGCTGAGTGGCCTGTCCAGGATCGTCAACGGGGAGGAGGCTGTCCCCGGCTCCTGGCCCTGGCAGGTGTCCCTGCAGGTGAGGGGGGAATTCTGCACACGAGTAGGGGGATGCACTGGGATATCAGCCCAGCCGGGGGCTGCTGCCCAGATTGGTTTTGCTGGTGTCCGGGCAGGGCTAACCCTCTGATCTTCCTCTAGGACAGCACCGGCTTCCACTTCTGCGGGGGCTCCCTCATCAGCGAGGACTGGGTGGTCACCGCTGCCCACTGCGGGGTCAAGTGAGGGCCCGGGCTCAGGGTTCTGCTTCGGGCTCCAGTCTGGGGTGGGGGAGGGGAGTAGGGCACGTTCTCAGTCCTCAACCCCCATGTGATTCCCCCAGAACCTCTGACCTGGTGGTGGCCGGGGAGTTTGACCAGGGCTCAGACGCCGAGAACATCCAGGTCCTGAAGATTGCCAAGGTACGCCCAGGCCCTGCTGGGCCGCCCCGGGATCAGCCGCGGGGCTGCAGGCAGGGGCAGGGGGACGAAGACCCTTCGGCCGCTTGAGAGACAGGAGCCAAGCGCAGATGAGGCCGGTCTCAGGATTCTCATTCCGGGCTCCGATGGGTCTGTTTCCGCTGAATGGATTGCCAGGAAAGGAGCTGGTCTCCTTGAAACCTGGAGATCCCCGACTTAACCCAGGGCCTTACCTCGTCTTTCTGGGCCCCACCCGCAGGTTTTCAAGAACCCCAAGTTCAACATGTTCACCGTTCGTAACGACATCACCCTGCTGAAGCTGGCCACGCCCGCGCGCTTCTCCGAGACCGTGTCCGCTGTGTGCCTGCCCAGCGCCAACGACGACTTCCCCCCCGGGACGCTGTGCGCCACCACGGGCTGGGGCAAGACCAAGCACAACGGTGAGCGGGCCGTGGCCTTTCCATCCACGAGGCGTGTCCGGGGTAGGGGCGGCCTGAGCCGCAGGAGTCTCCAGGCGGGACACATGTGGCTCTTTTAAAAATGTTTTAGTCTAAATTCCTATACAGTCATCAATCTTTCCATTTCTTTATTTAAAACCCTCTTAATGAAAACCCTACCAAACATGAATAAAAATGAGGGTTAATAATATATACGTAAACAGTTTCTGAAGAAACACCTAAGTACCAGCAAGTCTCGCCCCCTCTCACCTGCAAGGAGAGGGACAGCCCGGATTTCCCTCCAGACTGAGGAGGGCGGTGCGTCCAGCGCCCCTGAAGTCTGGGCCCGGAGTCCAGTGTCCTGGTCGGGTTCGGGCCTGAGCGCCCAGGTGCCCCCCACCGGCCCCCCACCGCCCCCCCAGCGCTGCTCCATCCGCAGGTTCTTCCTCGGTGTCCTGAGTTCTTCTGCCCCGGCCACGGCCCCCGGCTGGTCCCGTAACAGGACAGAAGCAGCCGGGAAAGGGCAGCAGGAGGGAGGTGCTCCCTCGGGGGTCCCTTCCAGTGTCCCCCGGTCAGAAGAACGTGCATCCCCTTCCCTGGGGGGAAGGACGGCCCCTCCACCCACACACAGTGGCCGCCAGGGCCCAGGGCGCACGGGGCTCCGAGGCAGGACCTGTTGCAGCAGCTGCTGGAAGCACAGTCCCCGCTGCCTGGTGTGGAATCGCAGAGGAGCTGCGTCCCAGACTCCCTGAAGGTGTCAGGGAAGGTTCGAAGCTCGGTGTCCACGATCATCGCGATGGAGGAAGACTGGGACCTTGCAGGGGGAGGGCGGGGCTCAGGCGGCCCCTGGTCTCTTCTCCCCAGGGGCGGGATGGTGGCATGAGGGGCCCTGACCCCACGCCCTCTGTCCTTCCAGCCCACAAGATCCCCGACAAGCTGCAGCAGGCGACCCTGCCCATCCTGTCCAACACCGACTGCAAGAAGTACTGGGGCAGGAAGATCACCGACGTGATGATCTGTGCGGGCGCCAGCGGCGTCTCCTCCTGCATGGTACGGCCTGGCTCCGCCACCCTGCCCGCCCTCACTGCCCGTGCCTCCCCTGGCCAGGCCAGGAGGCCCACTCCTCTCTGCCATGACCTAACTTCATGCTCTGCCCAGTGCCCCAGTGAAGGGCTGGACCAGATGCCCCTGGTGAGGGCCGGCTCTGGCCAGGTGTGGTGTGGGGCTTCCCAGGCGTATTTAATCTCACACCAACCCCACGAGCTGGACGCTTCAGCCTGTTTTACAGCTGATGGGGAGGCTGAGAGGATAAGCCACCTGCCCCAGGCCCTCCAGGAGTAGGTGGCAGGGCTGGGGCTGCCATCTGAGCAGATCTGAGTCTCCTGTGCACAACCACTGGGCCCCCACTTGTGCTTTGTCTGCACCCCTGGACTTGCCAGGTCAGGGCACACCAGGGCCCTGGTACTCCCTTTCAGGCTTGAATACAAGTCCTATCTCCTCCTGCAGGGTGACTCTGGTGGCCCCCTGGTCTGCCAGAAGGATGGAGCCTGGACCCTGGTGGGCATTGTGTCCTGGGGCAGCGGCACTTGTTCCACATCAACACCTGCTGTGTACGCCCGTGTTACTGCACTCATCCCCTGGGTACAGCAGATCCTGGCCGCCAACTGAGCCCAGGGCTCCTGCCATCCCAACCCTGAGAGTCCCCAATAAAAGCATCTGTCTGCACATGTCTCTCTGTGTGGCCTGGGCGACGTGGGGCTGCAGTGGTCCCTGTCACCCACTAAGGGGAGGTGTTACTGCTCCCTTTCCAGGCTGCCAGTACCCCAGCAACCCCCCTCTCAGGAAGCTGAGTCTTTGTATCTCATCCTCCCTGCTCAGGACTCCATCCTGGGGTAGAGCCCAGGGACTAATTGCTGGAGGCAGCTTGGCCCATGGAGCTTTCTGGAAGGCAGGAGTCTCGGCCAGGCTGTGCAGTCCCCGGAGATGGGCATTGGGAAGGCAGGGTGGGACTGTGGAGATGGTCTTTCTATCCTCCTTGGTTCTTCACTGCACATTTCTGTAAGACCCATTTATCCCGACGATTCCTGTACTCTCTGTCATAGATGGGCCTGGAGCAGGCATCTATTGCCCCCAAAGCACTGGGTTTAGGGGAGCAGCAGACAGAATTACAACAGTTCATTTCCCATTTTATCCTCCCACAGTCAGACCTATAGCCTCCGCCATCAGTCACGGCACTACGTGTCGGTCACGCACAACCCCGGTTCACATCATCCTCTCCCAGGTCCCATATCTTGATGTTTCTTTCCCTCTGGAGTTTCTACAAGGCTAGTCTTTGGGAAGGCAGCTGGTAGTCCACACTCACCGGGCATCTGGGAAGGAATGGCATTGGCCTCCCTGCTGCATTTCCCTTTCAGTATTCTTCCTAATATCTTTCCCTTCCTGGTGGAATTTTAGGTGTTCTGATAGTGGGTCATAATATGTTGAAATTAAGGTTACACATACCATTTAATTACTAAGGACACGGAAGAAAGCCCCCAGATAGCGGAACCTGATTTGGAGAATGAACATGTGAAAGGGAGAAAAGAAAAATGAGAGAGAAGCGTTGGGCAGAGGAGTGGAGTCACAAAGTAAAGTGTTTAAAATATTATTTAAAGCCCAGTGTTTTAAGGAACACTGGAGGTTTGGGGTGGGGTAACCCCTCAAACTTGGAGAGGAAAGTACAAGCATTTTATATCTACATCAAAACCATTTACATGCAAATGAATGTGGGATGTGATGCGTATAAAAATGCAGTAGCGAACACAAGCCTGGTTAAGTTACTTTTTCACTCACTAGCAAGACCTGCCTTCACCTCTGCCAACCATTTTGCCAACCCTCCCCCTGGAGTCTGAAAACCGCAATCCCGGGATAAGATCGCCACCTCGTGGCCCATATGAAAACTGCAAGTCTGTGCCTGGCTTCTGACTTAGAAATGTAATGTGAGCCCAATGGGTGATTTTAGATGATCTCATAGACTTTCTAAAAAAAAAATTAAAAGAAATAGGTGAATTAATTTTACGTATATATTTTATTTAACTCAGTATATCCAATTATTATCATTTCAACATGTTTTAAAATTATTAATGGTATATTTTACATTCTTTTTCTCATACTAGGTCTTTGAAGTCCAGTGTGTAACAGGCACTTACAGCACATCTCAATTAGGATGCTAAATTTTCATCAGGAATACTTGATCTGTATTTAAATTTCATAAAATATTGCAGTTGAAAAAGTAGATTTGCATACCCAAGTGGTTTCCAATTAGGCGTTACACTGAAAAGTATAGTTAAAAAATTCCATGATTAATTGGGAGTCTGTCTCCGTTTGCAAACAGACCCTCTGTAAGGCAGGGTGTGCTTAATGGGCCCTGCTGAGGCTGCCCCATACAGTATTCTTTTTTTTTTTTTTACTATTTATTTGTTTATTTTAAATTTTTTAAATTGAAGTATAGTTGATTTACAATATTGTGTTAATTTCTGCTGTACAGCAAAGTGATTCCGTTATACATATATATATATTCTTTTTCATATTGTTTTCCATTATGGTTTATCACAGGATATTGAATATAGTTCCCTGTGCTCTACAGTAGGACCTTGTTGTTTATCCATCCTATATATAATAGTTTGAACCTGCTAACCCTAAACTCTCACTCCATCCCTCCCCCAACCCCTCCCCCTTGGCAACCACCAGTCTGTTCTCTATGTCTGTGATTCTGTTTCTGTTTCATACATAGGTTCATTTGTGTCATATTTTAGATTCCACATATAAGTGATAGCATATGGCATTTGTCTTTCTCTTTCTGACTTACTTCCCTTGGCCCATCCAGTGTTCCTATTCTTCCTTAGGCACAATTAGGGCATATGGCCAACCTTCTCTGTCCACAGATCACCTAGCTTCCTATTTAACTGAAATGTCTGGACCGATCAGAAGAGGATGTTCATCGTTCACATCTGGAGAGTGTCACATCGTTCACCAGTCACTTATCAGCCGACATCTGTACCCACAGCTAGCGGACACGGTGATGAGCTGCCCAGACCCCCTCCAGCGCTGACCCACACCCCAGCTGCAGGGAGTGTTGCCCACAGACAGCCCTCAGCTGTCAGCCCTCTCTGGCAATTTCCTCAGCTGCAGAGAATCTTCCTGACCAAGGTCATGCTGCCTTTCTGGGCGGCCCACATCCCTGATTGGTCAGCTGGCTTTTAAAGGCCCATCCCTTCCCTTCCTAGGTGTTGATCCTGGAAGCACTCCCTGATTCACTTCCTGGTGCTGACCTTCATCTCAGAGTCTGCTCCCCGGAAGCTCGAATTGTGACTCTTGGTACCAGGAGTGGGTGGACTCCAGAAAGCAGGCGCTAGGACGGGATTCTGGAGTTGGACCGCTCTCTGCTGGCTGTGGCCGTGAGGACACCTTCCCCCTTGGTAGGGGCGGCACCGCCCGCGGCACAAGGTAACGATGAAATTGTTCAGACTTCCACCCCTGACAAACTGGGATGGTCGTCTGGTGGGAGAGAATTCACTAGTGGGTTTTCCCATATGTCAGGAGTTGGTGAAATACGGGGGGGGGAGGGAGAAACTGTAAGGCTGGTGAAACGGCGTAGCTGTTGCTAAGCACAATTCAGGCTTCAGAAAAAGGAAAGGAAAAGCTGAGAGTGATTCATAGCCCATTAAAAGCTAGGTGTGAAGGCCAGAGAGCCTCCCTGGGAGCACAGGCAGAGCTGCCCAACCTCCGCGGCTCCCTGGTGAGAAAGCTGAGCATAGGGCCCAGGATGTAGTCGTAGAGCAGCGTAAACGGTCAAGCTAGGCGGGTCTGCCAGGCCAGGGTCAGGGCCCTGCAGGACCGCAGGCTCCTCCGCACAGGCCCCACCTCCACTCCTGGAGGTGTGCTGGGCCGGATAAGAGAGGAAAGAAACCGTGTCCCAAGGGCGCTGCAGGACCTCGCCAGCAAGGCCAGGTGAGCCCTGGATCCAGTGGGGTCAGAACATAAAATCAGGTAAGGGAGAGATTACTGATTTGGGAGCCCTCTCCCAGGACACAGGATTTAACACCCTAGCCGGGTCCCCCAGGGATGGTTGCCCACTTGCTGCCTGGATGGCTCCTAGAAGCCAGAAACCAGCCCTGGACCCCACTAAATGAGGGCCACATGCCAGAATGACCAGGTCAGACGGTGGAAGAAGGGATTTAAGGCTGAGAGAAGCGGGCGTGGTAGGGTGGCCGTGCTGTGGAAAGCAGGATGCCCAGTGGCTGGCTTCCACGGGAGGGCCCGGAAGGCGCACCAGAGTAGGAAGGAATGTGCTGGAGGGAGGGGCACCAGGCTGGCTGAGAAGTTCACCCCCCGGTGCCCTCTTTGGGCCAGCCTGGGCAGTAGGAGACACTGCTACGAGCAGCTGCCAGGAGGATGCAGTTACCGTGATGGTGGCAGGGCGGGACGGGCAGCTGGGTCCTGGCCCGCAGAGTGATGGAGTTGGTTAGGAGGGCCTGGAAGCGCTGGGGCAGAATAGATGGACCGCTACCGGGGGCCCTGCTCAATGTGTGTGATCGAAAGAAATCAAGGACGGGCGACCAGCAGGCTAAGTGGCCTCAGTAAACAACTTGGCGTTCTGCGGCACCTCCAACTTGCCTCAGGCCTCCTTTGCCTCAACCAGAGTTAGATGCTTCCTCCTCCGAGGTCTCACAAGCCTTGTATTCCCCTCTGCTAGAAACTAATTATGCTCCACTGGATTCACCTGTTTACTAGGCTAGACTGTGGGCTTTATGAGGCAGGAGCCGTTCCTCTGCTTACGCCACAAAGCAGTGCTGCTAATCACGAACGAGGTTCCCGCAGTGGGTCTCCAGCCCAGCTGCGGCAGCATCACGTGGGGGTGGGCTGACTCTTTACCTCGTCGTGCGACTGGCAACGTGTTTATGTGACGTAGTTGTCTTTGAAGTGGGTGTCTCAGCAAGTTTATCAGGCAGTTGATTTAAAATTAAAAAAACCCAACCAGGGCTTCCCTGGTGGCGCAGTGGTTGAGAGTCTGCCTGCCAATGCAGGGGACACGGGTTCGTGCCCCGGTCCGGGAGGATCCCACATGCCGTGGAGCGGCTAGGCCCGTGAGCCACAACTACTGAGCCTGCGCGTCTGGAGCTTGTGCTCCGCAACAAGAGAGGCCGCGGCAGTGAGAGGCCCGCGGCAGTGAGAGGCCCGCGCACCGCGATGAAGAGTGGCCCCCACTCGCCGCAACTAGAGAAAGCCCACACACAGAAAAGAAAACCCAGCACAGCCAAAAATAAATAAATAAATGAAATTAAAAAAAAAAAACCCAACCAAACAGGGACTTCCCTGGCAGTCCCGTGGTTAAGACTCCATGCTGCCAACACAGGGGGCTTGAGTTCGATCCCCGGTCGGGGAACTAAGATCCCACATGCCTCACAGTGCGGCCAAAAGATTAAAACAAAACAAAACACCTCACTGTCTGGCACTTACACTACAATCCACCCTGTGATGCTGAGGCATCAGAGTCAGTGGTAAAAGGACACTAACAGCCTGGGTAGCAGACAAGTTAGAAGTCAGGGGGAGGGCACATTGTAACCTATGAAGTACACCTCTAAATCCTAAATGTACAAATCCTATAATAACATACAGTCTGCGATGTTGTTCGTAGCTGTTGTCGCAAACTTAAAGCGTCCAGCCATGAGAATAGGTCAGTGATCTCGGGAACTCTGGGAATCTGTTCGAAGATTTGGGTAATATTTCAACATCTGGGCACGTGAAATGGTGAGGTCTCTGACGTGGTGGTGTGTCCCTGGGGTGTCATCTCTGGTGCAAGAGGTATAGGCATCTCCAGTGGCAAACTTGGGCTGGGGCCATGTCGTCTGAGATGGTGTCCTCTCCAGCGATGAATCCATCTCAGAGGTGAGGTGCTGTGGAGAGGCAGTCACCCCGGCGACCCTCCCATGTGGCTGTCGGTTGGGGTACTGGTCATGGGCTGGTCGTAGGCTACCCTGATGTGACTCGGAGGTTTCCCTGAGGACTGAGCTGCCTATCTGCTACTGCTCCCTAGTGAACCTAACTGTGAAGGGCTCCCCGGGGTCTTCAGGGGCACATTCGGCCACGGCATAGGCAGCTGCCCTTTCATCTCCCAAGGAGCTCATCCAAAGCATGTGAAGATCCTGCGCACATTTATATTCCAGGCTAGAGAGGATCTTAGGAATGCTATTTCCTGGGACCGATCTGTGAGGGCAAAGGAGAGACCATGAGATCACAGTTCCCATAACCAGAGGGGTTTTATGTACAGGCAATAGCAGGGCCAGCTGGTAGCAATATTCCATGTATAGGAAACCGGAGGCGAGTGTCATTCAGACACTGCTTCCAGAGGACCAGTTGCCTATAAAGGGATTTCCCTTGCCCCAGGCTGGGTGGCATAGTGGCCTGAGCCCTTCTCAGTAGGGCTCTCCAACACTTCCTGCTTCTCCACCAGGTGGTGCAATTGCAAGCGGGAGTGGTACGTTCCAGCATTGGATCTGCACGATGGTTGGCCCGAGTAACCGGTCTACAAGTAACCCCATCACCCGGGCCAGTGCAAAGTCATAAGAATAGTCACAGCCACTGATGCTTGATGCGCTTGGGTGGGCGGGGTGGAGGTTCTGTGGCTGAGCTTTTTGTATATTGATGAACGGCTGAGTGGTGATGCTTGGGGAGAAAGCTGTGGGTTGTGGGTTACGGTGTCTAGCATGGGGGTACGGCCATGACGTGTAGCTTTCTCACCATATTCTCGTCTCCAAGTTGGGCTCAAATCTACCGAGCAGAGAGTTTCTTTCCCTCTTTCAGACACCCATACTGTGCCAGGGATTGGTCCTCAGGCAGTGAGTTCTACTTCCTGTGAATTAGTAGGAGATCTCATTTCATCTGCCAGCCCTTGCAGGCTCTATAAACAGGGAGAGCGACCAGCATGGAGGTGACCCCTCCATTGTCAGGGCTTTAGAAGAAATGATTTCGCACTAACTTGCTGGGCTTCTGGCCTGGGGGACACGCACTGATGAGGGGTCACATGGGACTACCTGCCCTTGATCAGGTCACCAGCGTGAAGCAAATGACGAAATGATGGAAAAACCCTAGTGGAAGGGGGGAGTAGAGTCAGAGGACAGAATAAAAAGGACCCTGTTTTGGAGGGTGAAAGCTTGAGGATTGCCGGAGATGACTGAAAGTGGAACTTCGGGGTGGGGGGTGGATAGTAATTGTTATGTGGGATAAGAAGGCCCCGGGGGTGAGAATCAAGCAAGATGGGGCCCTGGCTTCATCCATTTCAGGGACCCCTTGCTTGTAAGGAGAGGCTCTCTAAGGAGGCCATTCTGGGAATTCCCTGGCAGTCCAGTGGTTAGGGCTCGGGGCTTCACTGCTGGCCCGGGTTTGATCCCTGGTCGGGGAACTAAGATCCGCAAAGCTGTTCGGCATGGCTCAGCACTGCCAAAAAAAGGAAGAAAATATGCTGTTCTCGTGCTTGGTGAGGCCAGCAAAGTGGGTGCCCGGGTCAGAGTCAGTAATGTCTAGTGATGCAAAGGGCACAAGACAAATGTAGTCAGGAAAGGCCTGTTTGAGGAGGAACCCTGGGCGGGGGTCGAGCAGAGGGGTCCTGCATGTCAGCAGCGATGAGTGTGTCGACAGGAGGGGGCAGCGGCCGAGGAAATCAACCTGCCCGAGGGAGTGGTGGGTCTCCCCGGGGAACATGTCCCCATCCTCCATAATGGGAGCAGAATAGAACTGGTGAGTAGGTTGACGACTACTGAGGATGCTTCCTGGACCCGTTGTACGTCCTCAGTGAGTTCTATGATATTAGGAGTTGAAGCCTTAAGCGGGGAGAAGCTGAGCATTGAGGTTTCCATTGTCAAGGGTGAGGGGGCATCATTAGTGGCTTAAGTACCAGCCTCATGGGGCTGTTGCAAAGGAGACTGTGGGCCGAATGCCTCTCAGCTGAAGCATATCTTCATTTATTTTATGTATGTATTTATTTTTATTTTTGGCTGCATTGGGTCTTCGTTGCTGCACGCGGGCTTTCTCTAGTTGCGGCGAGCGGGGGCTACTCTTCGTTGCGGTGCGTGGACTTCTCATTGCGGTGGCTTCTCTTGTTGCAGAGCACGGGCTCTAGGCGTGCGGGCTTCAGTAGTTGTGGCATGCAGGCTCAGTTGTGGCACACGGGATTAGTTGCTCCGCGGCACGTGGGATCTTCTCGGACCAGGGATCGAACCCGTGTGGCCTGCATTGACAGGCGGATTCTTAACCACTGAGCCACCAGCGATGTCCTATGTATTTATTTTAAAATATTTGTTTATTTGGCTGTGTCGGGTCTTAGTTGAGGCATGCAGGATCTTCACTGCAATGTGCGGGATCTTTAGTTGCAGCATGCTAATTCTTAGTTGTGGCATGTGGGATCTAGTTCCCTGATCAGGGATCAAACCCAGAGCCCCTGCATTGGGAGCTCGGAGTCTTAGCCACTGGACCACCAGGGAAGTCCCTCAAGCATATCTTTTTTTTTTTTTTTTTTTTGCGGTACGTGGGCCTCTCACTGTTGTGGCCTCTCCCGTTGCGGAGCACAGGCTCTGGACGCGCAGGCTCAGCGGCCATGACTCACGGGCCCAGCCGCTCCACAGCATGTGGGATCTTCTTGGACCAGGGCATGAACCCGTGTCCCCTGCATCGGCAGGCGGACTCTCAACCACTGCACCACCAGGGAAGCCCCCTCAAGCATATCTTTAATCATAGGACATGGGCCTTCAGTGCCCTGTTTACATCAGTATTGGGGAATGTTTACCATCTTGACCCGGAGAAAGAGTCACCGGTGCCCAATTGGCGAGTCCTACCAGCGAAGCCAAGAGCTTGGGCTTAGTCCATGGGGCATGGTGTTGTGTCAATGGATCCATGCCTGCAATAGGAAAAGAAAAAAACAGGGGGGCACCACCAGAGGTAGCTAGCTGTTTGAGATGAATGGTCCCAATAGTTACATCCGAATGGGTTTTTACACCTTTGATTGATTTATAGGGAAAGGACTTCCTTTTAGGGAATTTAGAGGAATTGCCTCAAATGACAGTGACTTGGGCCCCAGAGCCTAATAGGGCCAAAAAGGACTAAATTTTTATTGTCCCAAATGGACCACCAGAGTGGTATAAGGATGATTGTCCTCAGGAGGTGGGACAAGCCTCAGGGAGCTGCCAGTTTTCTAGGGTGGGGGCTTAGGTGGCTGCCAGCCCTGGAGGTTAGGGAAGCAGGCAGAGGGAGCATCGGGGACAGGCTCGGGGTCAGGAGGTGTCTGTGTGGCAGGAAGGTGGACAGCAGAGGGAGGCTGTAGCTGGAGAATGCAGGTTCCAGGGCCTGGAGTTGAGACTGGCTACCCAGAGGTCAAGTGGCCAGGACCCCTGAGTTTTTGGAACTCCCAGTAGAGGCTTGCCTAAGTGTTCCCATAAGGCTTGCCTAAGTAGTCCCATAGGTATTCCCATAAGAGGCAACTTATTGTCTAAGTTGGGGGTTTGTTGAAGAGGGAGTGGGGAATCTTTTTTGTTGAGGGAAATTTGTTCAAGGGAGACCCTTCCAGGGCAACCGGAGTAGAGGGCCATGAGTCCGTAACCTAAAACAGTAAAACAGCCTAGCAAAATTTGTTTATTCGAGAACAGCAAAGAATTGCGATTTGGGACATGCACCTAGGGCAAACCACATGGAAGTCCAGTAAAACAAAGGAGAGGAACCTCTTTCCTAGAGAAGGGGAAGTTGGGATGGGCTGTTATAAACCAAAGTCCATTGGGGGAAACTGGGAGTTTGAAGTATAGGGGCT